AGGGTTCTTTGTGTGCGGGTGCGTGCTGCACGTATTGGGGACCTAAAAATCGGAAAACGTACCGTAATGTAGACAACTACCCAATTGCAATGGCCGACCCTGAATAAGGTGTTGATCACATAGTAATGTATCGTTACATAGGGACTGTAAGAGGATGGCAATGCTGATTGTTCGAGCCCTTCACTAAGAAACATGGCGCTGTGGTTTGCAGAATGACGCAGTCTGGGATGCTGGGCCCCGCGAGTTCACTCAAGGTCATGATGATCGCTGCCAGGCGCATATGGTTCTAACATAGCACCTTAATATAAAGTACTTAAATATAGTACCCTAATATAGTAGTCTAATACAGTACCGTAATATAGTACTGCTGCCATTGCATCAGGTGCTAGATTGTGCAGTGGCCTCGGCCGGAGGCATCAGCCGAAACGCTGAGCAATGGCAGCTCAGTTTTTGTCTCCAGCAAGTACATGCCGCATCTGCCAGAAAGGCGGGAAGGTTGATGCTGCCCTAGACAGGCTAAGCTGCAGATTTGATGAATAACCTGGGGTGTGGTTCGTGTCTGTTAGCTACGAGCGATAGAAAGTGGGGCACCGCTTGAACAGCACTAAAGGAGCTATGTGGAGCCTGCACTTACCCTGAAGCTCAAAATAGCGCAAAAGCCTTGCATAGTATGGTCTTTGGGCCTAAAAGCCTTATATCTGATTTAGGGTAACCCTATAAACCCGAAACCTAACCCCTTATCCCTATATGGGTCCTCGAGCCTCATGCAGGGTTAAACACACACAGTATTGCGGCTCTCCCATGACCACATGCCTTGATAAAACGTGGGACAGTGCGCAGTTCGACAGTTTTTCCTTCTGGGCTAATCCCGCTGGCACAACAGGATACACGCAAGCTTAGACAGACAACTCGGTTTCGGGCTTAGGATAAATGGAGAACATATGGATTCGTGGATTCGTGATCCGGTTGCGGGGTCGGAGCCCGGTACTTTGTAGGGCAATGTTTTGCTACAGGAAACGGTTGATGATATAACTCCTGCATTACCCGTAATAAGGAATGCTTGGGAATTATGGTATATTCTATATTATGGGTCATGCAGGATTTATATCATCAACCGAAAGTGCTGCAAACAGAATCCCCACGCCCTACAAGGCTCTAAGGCAGGGTTGTCTCTTGCAGTAAAATCGGCAAGGCCCTATATGCTTATGCCCCATTCCTTTCATGGGAATCCCTGAGAGAAGATAGCTTCACCGTTCTAGGCCAGCGAATGTACGAAGACACCCTACTAAGCCCTTACATACATATTGCCTCGTGAAGCCTTGTTGCAGCCTTATGGAAACCCGATAACCCCACCCAAAACCTCCATATAAGCCCCTTTAAGCCCTAAGCCCAAGCCCTTAACCACCCAAACCTAAACCCTATACCCCTTCAGTCAGTCAAAGCCTCGTGTACAGTGACACATGGGCATTGCAAACCCTACACCCTATCTCCTAAACCCTTAACCCCTACGAACCCTAAGACTCCAAATAGCCCAAAGTAGGTAGTATTTCTAGACTTTGGAATCCAAAGTAGGTACTGTTTGTATACTTGGAGTCTTAGGGTAAGCCATCTGAGGCCGAGCTTACGGGCGTGCCGCCCAAGAGGATGGTTCTCTTTGACGATGCAGCAGGGGCCTCTGTGAATTGCTGAAAGGGGCCTCACGTAGGGTTTCTGGAAGGGTTCCTTAAAGGGGTCCTGAAAAGCTTCTATAAGAGATCTGGAATGTTGTCAAGATTATTGTCCCTTTTTGGGTACCCTAACTTTAAGGTGCCGTATTATAATAGGGACCCAAAAAGGGACCCTAGTTTTGACAACCACCCATCTATACTATGATTTGCTACAAGAGGCTTTACGAACTGTTTCAATCTCGGTAAGGATGATATATGCGTCTCTAGAGGGATTTCGTAGTATGGGGGCCTCAAGAATCCGAAAGGGTTTCTGTGAGAGTTGCTGTAAGCGTGATCCGATGGACCTGACGCTATATAATCTGTGTTATAGGGGTCTCGATAGTTATTCACCATTATCAGGCTGTATACATATGTAGCCAGGATTGAAAAGTGTATAAGTATAAGTATATGTATATATATATACACATTCACACATACATGTTTAAGTGTGTGTACATGTATATATATATATATATATATGTATATATGCACATACACATGTCAAGGTACTGAGAACCTGCTACGATACAACATTCCAACCTTCGAGATTCCGAAATTATGTCTTGGCAGCCCGACCTCCCACTATCCCTTACTTAAGTTAAACCTATAGTCTCCATTGTAGTTCATTGTTTGGTTAACCAATCTTATGGTTAGGATCGTGTAATATACATGTCGTTAACCAAACCAGGGAACTACAATGGAGGCTATAGGTATATCTTAAATTATAGTAGGATCCCGGATTCCTTGGAGACTTTTGGAAGCTCTGGGGAGCCACATGTCTTGAAACTCAGGTCTTGCAGTCCGGGTATTTTAGGGTTTTAGCTAGGATTTAGGGTTTAGGGTTGAGGATTCTTTTTCAAGTGTTTTCATTGTAGTTAAGAATTAAGAATCATAACCTGCTATTTTGTAGGGTTTGGGGCCACAGGTTTGCCCGGTAAGTAAGCTCTCTCACCCCCCCCCACCCCAGACTCTAAACTGCAAGCTCCTAAGCCTTCTAAACCCCTCAAACCCTAACCCCAGAGAGTAGAAAACCAGGTCGGCTCCCGAGTCTCTGTTTTAACGCCCCTGTTCAAAACAGGCCACTGTTTTAAGCTATGCGATGAGTCTTTTTAAAAGCCCCTAAACCCCGGAACCCCACCCCTAATCGCCCTAACCCTACGGCCTGGAACCCCTAAAACCTAAACCCCACCACAAACCCTCAGCCGAAGCAGGCGAGAAACTTGGAGACTGAAGATGGATGGAGAGGACCCGGCCATGTTCTGCTCGTTTCTTGCATTGAGGAGAGGTTTGGGGTATAGAGTTTGGGGCTTAGGGTTCGGGGTTCGCGATTCGCGATCGATTCTCCTAACATCTACAGAGCCTATACGGGCTTGAGCCACTAGTAGTACTGTTTGGGTTTGATGAATTATGATTATTCTGACATATTCTAACAGCTCCAAAACCCTGCTCCAAATGTGCAGGCAACCAAAAAGTGATATGCTATTGCTCCGAGACTGGTGTTAGGTTGACTACGGGTTTGTTTGGGAAACAACTTGATTCTAATTTTACTAATTTACTGCAAACGACCTTGCACGAATCTGCTTTCACCCCAAGGACCGCTTAAAGGCAAACATGAGCGTTTTCGATTCTGAGTAGCTGTTTCATGCCACTTTCTCCCTGAAGATCTTTACCCGCCAGATCCATCCCGCCCCAACGAGGAGTTCTTGTACGTGATGGACGGATTGGCTTCCAATTCAAGGACGCCTTTGCTTACAGCGGCGTGCAAGAGGATCGCTTGAGCTTATAAAAAATGTGCCTGACATGGCTTACCGAGGGTTTAGGGATTAGGGGTTAGGGGATTAGGGTTTTTTGGGGTTTAGGGATTAGTAAATTTTGGGGTTTAGGGTTGAGTCGGGTTTTGAGTGCAGGCACTACTGAACGGTACTGTCAATTCCGTCTGACGTAGCAGGCTCTAGCCTCGCAGGGTATAGTCCCAGACCTTCCAAAATCCCTTAATTAAGGAATATACCTTAAATCATATTAAGGATCCTACTATAATTTAAGGTATATTCTTTAATGAAGGGGGTCTTGGAAGGTCTGGGGTCATGCAGGGATTTGAGCTAAAGCCCCTGAGGCCCCAGAGCCCTGATATCCCAAAGGCTTACTTGGAGGCCCTTTTGACTTAGTAAGTAGGGTTAGTAAGGTGGGTTATGGGGATTATAATAGGGTTTCTGGGGGATACTAAGTAGACTTACTAAGTCAACAGGGCCTCCAAGTAAGCCCTACATTATCATGACTCCCCAATACCGCCCAGACACAGGTACTGCATCTACTTTGTAGCGCTTTCCTGCTGGACCACACGTCCTCTGGGTTTTGAGTGTTTGGGTTGTTGGGTTGCAGACGTGAAAGGCTTTCGGATCATAGTGGGTTTGAGATAGTGTGGTCCAGCTGCTAGACATATGTACATACCTACTCATCGGATTCACACACCGGCTGCACCCTGAACCTTGGTTCAAGTGTGTCGGTTGACTGTTTAGATTTGTCAATGTGTCGAGGGCTTCGGGTTTAGGCCTGAAACCCTGAGGGACCGTGTCTAGGACCCAGAGTAGGCCCTTATTCCCTTTTTTAGGGTTCAGGTTCCCTTTTAAGCCCCTTTAAACCAAAAAGGGCATCCTTTTTATGCCTGGGTTACTCTTTGGTCTAGGTGTCTTAACGGCTCAGAGACTTCCTTAAAACCCGGTCTGTGTCCCTGCGTAGCACATGTTGTCATCAAAGAGCCTAGGGCCTAGGGCATAAACCAGCTTTAAGGCTCCCAGACCTTCCAATAGCATCCCTCAATGTCAAATAAGGAATATACCCCCAATGAAAATGTGATCCATCAAATGAATGAGTGTACATATGTTCCTTCTCAATTAAGGGAAGGGGTATTGGAAGGTCCGGGCTTTGCCTCACTCCTAGGGAGAGATAGGCAGAGAATGCAGAGCGTGCTGGCTTCCAAGATACTCGAACGACACCTAGCTGCCACACCCAGCACCACTCAACCCCTCTACAAAAAAAGCCAGAAGCCCTAAGCCCTACAGATCCCTTAATAGGAACCCTTTAAAGACACCCCTAAACTACCCTAAACCCCTACACCCCGCTCTGTCCCCATATCGCTATACTATTATGTCCCCCACACAACTTGATGCTAATCATTCCCTAAACCCTGTAACCCTAAACTAAACCCTACACCCTAAACCCCAAACCCTAAACCCTACACCCTGAACCCTCATTCTTGCGGCTCCCGTGAGCCCTTGGTGGAGACGTCCGGCTCAGGTCCTCGCATCTCGGTCATGTCCGAGAGCGAGAAGAAGAACGCCAAGATGAACAAGAAGGCCGATTAGGGTTATATAAGGGACTATAGGGTTTAGGGTTTAGTGTTTGCATGGGGTTCAGGGTTTAGGGTTTCGTAGAAGGCTGATTAGGGTTTAGGGCGTCTAGGGTTGGTTCATTGGTTTAGGGTTTAGAGAGAAGAACGCCAAGATGAACAAGAAGGCCGATTAGGGTTTAGGGCGTAGAGGGTGTAGGGTTTAGAGCTTAGAGTTTGGGGTGTAATATTTGGAGCTCAAGGAAGAAGAACGCCAAGATGAACAAGAAGGCTGATTAGGGTTTAGGGCGTCTAGGGTTGGTTCATTGGTTTAGGGTTTAGAAGAAGAGCGCCAAGATGAACAAGAACACAGATGAGGGTTTAGGGCTTATAGGGTTTAGAGTTTATAGGGTTTTGGGTTTGGGGCAGAACGCCAAGATGAACAAGAAGGCTCATTAGGGTTTAGAGTGTAGAGTGTAGGTTGTAGGGGTTAGGGTTGTAGGGTTTATTGTAGGGGTTTTAGGGCTTGTGGGGTTTATAGGGTGTGTAGGTTATAGGGATTATGGGGTTTATAGGGTTTGGAGGGTTTAGGGAAGATGAACAAGAAGGCGGTTTAGGGTTTGGGTTTGGGTTTGGGGGTTTGGATTCAGGGCTTAGGGTTCAAGGTTTACATGGTTTAGGGTTTAGGCGGACGAAGCATCAGCTGGGCTTCGTACCCCGTCCTCCGCCAGAAAGGCGGAAAGAGTTGACACACACACACACACACACACACGCGCACGCGCACACACCCGCACACACATAGTAGCCATAATGATTGTCTTCAAAAGTATCAGTGTCCGACAGCACGTCGCCGTACGAGCTTCTGAGTATTATACCGTCTTCAGCTTACACTTGTACTAGCTAGCTGGTCCAGGCACGAAGCCCTAAACCCTACGCACTTTAAACTCTGAGCTCCACACCCTAAACACCCTAGGCCCAAACCCTAAACCGTGCCCAAGCTGTCAAGACTCCAAACCCTCCGACAAGGATGTCTAAATATACGTCCTTAAAGTTTTTTTTTCGGGGGCTGAGGTAACCTGACTGGAAGCCCTTGGTTGAAAGAAGAACCGAATACCTTAAACTCTAAACCCAAGCTAAACTCCTAAATCCTAAACCCTAAACCCCTAAACCTAAACACCAAAACCCTAAACCCTATGGATCCTTATAAGGAACCCTATAGATCCCCTTAAGGAACCAATAGACTTCAGACCCTCTTTTGCAGGCTGCCATCCGCGAAAACAAACCCAGCTCTGAGTCTACTTCTCAGCTTCTGGAACGCCTGTGCCTGCTTTGTGGGTTTAGGGTTTAGGGGTTAGGGTTTAGGAGTTCCGGGGTTTTTACGTTTAAAGGGTTTTTGCAAGTAAGGCTTAATGTTAATGCAAGTCTATGCGGCTTTTAATCCCGACTGATCTGCATCTGGTTGCAATGAAGGTTGTATTGCTTTCAGAAAATTCGATATGGAGGCTCTTGCGATTCAGTCGGTTCTGTGAGGGTTTAGGAATGTCTTTCATGAGCTGTAAGCGTTGTCCCAAAGCTCTACATTGTGGCATCTGCGACAAAGTCGTATGCGAAAAGATCTCCAGGATGTCTTTTGCAGTTGATTCCGGCTGATGATATACATCCTGCATTACTTTATTGGCCCTAGACTATGGGAATCATGGTATATTCTTCCTTATTATGGGTTATGCAGGATTCATATCATCAACCGTTCTCGATACCATGCCGAGTGGGTCCACATATACTACTTTTGTGGAATTAAATTAGGTGCCTGAAACCATCATGAGGATGGTCGTTTACGACCCAGTTCCATACTGGTACTTGTAGTATATATTGACCGTCTAGTAGAGTATATGTGGACCCTCTAGTAGAAGGTGGTTACGTTTTTGAGCTGTAGGGTTTAGGATAGAAACGATTAGGGCAATGATGAGGATGTTGTGTTTCACTGCGGCATGCGCACCAGACTGTTGAGAGTGACCCTGTTTCGCAGGAAGTTTTGAATTAAGACAAGTATCCCTTTGCAATCCCACATTACATACTCCAATACTGTAGGAGGCTAAATAACTTCTTATTAAAGTTGTAGTATAACATACACCAAAACCCTGTTTTGATTATTAAGGCCCTAAAGGGGAAGCCAGAAAGTTGGAACATCATTATCCCCATGCCCTTAAGGTCAAGTATAAGGGATCCTGGCACTAATCCTCCTAAACCCATGTTCCAACTTTCGGGCTTCTACTATATATTATATTCTTACCCCTAAACCCTTTAAACCCTAAACCCTAAACCCTGAATCCTTACCTGCTACGACTCTAAACCCGCAACCCCTAAACCCCAAAACCCCGATATTTGGTATTCAAGTCTGGAAGTGTAGGTGTGGGGTTCAGTGTCGAAGGTGAGGAGATAGGCTTGGGGTTTGGGGAATATAGGGTTTAGGGATTGGGGGCTTAGGGTTTAGGGCTTTAGGGTTTTGAGGTTCTCTAAGGCAAAGCATAGGGGATCGCAGCATCAACCATCCTAAGTCCATGTTAAAACTTTCTGGGATTCAATTTCAAAGGCGAGGGCTTGGAGTTTACCTAATCCGCCAAGAGTAAGCAAACCATTCGCACAACATCTCAGTGGTTGTCAAAATTAGGGTCCTTTTTTTGGGTCCGTAATCTAATACGGCACCAAATATTTAGGGTACCCAACAAGGGACCCTAATTTTGACAACCACCCATCTATAAAAGGATTTTGTTGTACATACTTTTGGGGGTTGATTGGAGACTCTGCAGTTCAGGAAACCCTTTAAGCCCTATAGCCCTAAGGGTATTATAGGGTTCTAGAATAGGCTACCCTTTAAAGGCACTATAGGGGTCAGAGCAAACTCCTAAACCCTAAAACTCTAAACCCTAAACTCTAACCCTAACTAAACCCTAAAGCCTTCCGGTTTAGGGTTTTTTTGGTGAGTCTCCGGAGCTCAGGAATGCTCACTCCGCCGCCTTACAGTCCTGCCGACACGTGGTTCTAATTTCTTTGTCTTTATCTATTTGTTGTTCCTGTGGTTCCTTTGTATTTGAATATGCAGATTAAGAATATAATATTGCTTTTCCCAAACGGTCGATTTAGGGCTTAGGGTTTGGGGGTTTTGGGCTTGGGAGTTCCGTCCAATGCCCATGGCTCCGCCGCCGGCTTGTGACCGTTCGAAGTCCTTTCAAGCCCTAGGCAATCCAAGAAGACGGAGAACTCCTTCCACGGCCGCCGTACGAATGGTCCACTCGCTTGGCAAGGAAACGCTTCAGCCAAGCCCAGACTCAGAACCATCAAGGTCCCTCTTCGTCCAGAAGCCGTGCTGTGACGGACGTCAGCACACCCACCCACAAGCCTGGGGAAGGTATCTTTTATTATTCTTATTTTTATAATATTTTATATTATTTATATTTTCAAAATGATCCCCACCAGAGCAGTCTTGCATCGTCTGCGCAAGGTCTTCGTCATCAGACTCGAATCTTCAGCTTCCATGGGCACCTTGAGAGACGACTGCAACGAGGGCATCACACTTCAGAGCAATCTTGCGCTAAGCTTGAACCCCATAAAGGCCTATGTACTGTTAGGGGGGGGTACTTCCCTAAGTCATAATTGTAGTTCCTAATATGGAAACCCTACATTCTACTATATCGGTACATAGGACCCTTTGGGAAGATCTGTGGCCTCACAGTCTCGCCTCAGCGCCATTAGATTCTGCAGCTGTCACCTGCACCACGCGTGTCCCTTAAGGAACCAGTAAAGGAATTCTGGCAGAGCCCTTAAGGAATCCTAAACTTTAGCCAACCTACAACCGAGCCTGTTCCAAGGGAGATCGCTTCTCCTAAGCAGCCAAGAGGCGACTATAGGGATCTAAACAATCACAATAGGGTTTAGTGTATCTTCTGTATCAGGGCTCATAAGTCGATCCTACAAAAAGTAGGTTCTGGTAATTTTTACAGGGTTTAGGGGAGTGCGGTTTGGGGTTGAGGGTGCAGGGCTGTGGGCTTTAAAGGCTTTGAGGCCTTGAGTTGGTTTTTTGGGTTTGCCCTGGTGGCGGGGTGGGGGGGGGGGGGGGGGAGATGCGATAGAAAGACTTCGGTAGTATGATCCCGAAGGGTCTCCGGATCCCTCCCTCAAATGGACAAGAGAAGTTTCGGTTCTTGGGTTCAGGGTTTGTGGCTCAAGCTGAACTTGCAAGACTCTACTAGGGTTCGACTCTTGTTGGGTGTAGTATTGCCAGCTGAGTTGTTAGAGCACTAGTCTCGGAGGTTATAACCGCTTCGGATTGGAAATGCTTTTTTTTGCATTTCAGCTGATGAGGAAAGGTTTAAGTACATGGCTTGCGTGCGGCCTTATTTATAGGCAGCTTGACCTTTTTGTCCCGAAAAGGTATTGGGCTTACGAGGACCCTGTTTAAGGCCAGTTTCCACCGTGAACGTCAACCCGGCCACATCTTGAACACGCCCTGTATCGCCTTACACCCCAAGCCCTAAAGCCAAAGGCATAAACAGAAAGAGCGTGAATTGCCAAGACGTGCCAGGTTACTGGCATCCTTGAGTGCGGATCCGGAGGAAATCGATGCAGCCGCCCTAGTGTGGGTTCCTGTTAAGGGGCTTGATTCAAGCTACCATACTAGAGAAACCATGTTATTTACTATGGATCCATACCCTAAACCCTAAACCCTAAACCCTAAACCATGGTTACTTAAACTAAAACCCCTCAACAAGAACCCAGCAGGACTGCCCTGAAAGGGTCGAAGATAGCGACCCTTCCCGCCAGCCTTGCAGTGATGTAGGGGCCTGAATAATGAGAATAGGGTTTTGGGGTATATCGTACTATAATAATTATCACAAGGAGCCCGTAAGAATAATAATGTACTGTAAATTGTTTCGGCCGCAACAAATAGATCCTTTGTAGAACCCTAAACCCCTTAGAGGAACCCAAACCTTGTCTCCGATCAGCTTCCTTGCAAAACTCCGTCAAAACTCGCACAAAACCTCCCAAAGCTCCGGAGCCTTAATAACTACCTATACTGTTTTGGGATTCCTTATCATTTAGTATAATGGGCCCGCAAACCCCTGTTCTAATTATTGAGGCCCCTACATTACACAATTGAACTCGGCCTTGAAAGTCCCTCGGACCGAGGAGCTGGAGATCAAGAAGCCTCTGGTGGCCGCAAAATCCTCGAGCCTTCTGCACTGCATAAATAGTTAGGAGAGTTTTCGAGTAGGTTTAGGGCTTATAGTGCTTGTGGTGTTTATACGGTTCATACGGTTTATATAGTTCATAGACTTTATAGTGTGTTTTTCTGAGTAGGGTGTAGGGTTTAGGGTTTACAAGTCTTATAGGGTTTATAGGGCCGAGGGGTTTACAGCTTGTAGGGTCCATGATGGGGTTTAGGCTATTAGGGGTTCAGGATTTAAAGTTTAATGGTTTTGGGCTGAGAGTGTTTGTAGTGCTTATGAGGGTTATACTGTTTAGAGGGCTTGTATTGTTTGGAAACTAGGGTGAAGGGGTCAATAGAGCTTGTTGTAGGGTTTCGATGGCAAATCATCACACCACAGGATTGCCAATCGTTCTGGCTGCCAAGATATTGTGTAGTAAGCGTTGCAGGCAGAGTGTGCTCTATATGGCCCCCACGACCCCTGAAAGACTGCCCAGAGACACGGCACCTGACCTCAAAGTACCCTAAACCCTAATCTCTAAAGCTCCTAAGCAAGCCCCCAATCCTCCAGGTCTGTAACCCGGAGCCGCGCCCAAACTCGGGGCGCCAGGGGGGGCCATCTCAAAAAAAACCCAAATGCCCTAGGTCATTCAGTTCGTGAGGTCCCCATGTTGACAGAACCTACATTTCCAAAGACCTAAGCCCTAAAGAGGCCCCACCCTAAGGCTCCCCAAAAGGTCCTGGGCTTTCTGCGGGAGGGTTTGGGCTTTGCGGGCCAAGGCGGCTTGGGATCTCACTGACGAGACTTACGGTATACCCTCATTCCTGCTTGGAGGTTCGTTTGACCTAGCAAGTCTACTGAGTATCCTTAACCCCGGGAAGCCCCCAAACCCTATCACGTGCAGCCCAGGTGAGAACAAGAGCAAGAACATCCATCAATCCAACTTGGCTGGGATGGGCCTGACCCTCAGAAAATGGTTCAGAGCTGCAGAACCCGAAACCCTAAAGCTTCAAACGCAAATCTAAGGCACATGCACCCTGTGAGAGGCCCGAGGGTTGAGATGAGCCGTGCCGTCTGCAGTAATATCCTGCCATCCACACGTCCCTGTAAAAGGATATTATTATAGTTTAATCAAACCCGTAACCTTGCTTTTAGTGTAAATGCCGCTGCATTTGGTGCTTAGGATTGATGGGTTTAGGTTTCAGGGATGTCGGGCTTTTGGATTCGTTTGGGATGGTGGGGTTGAGGGTGTACAGGGCTAGGGGGTTTTAGGGTGTTTTTTTTGGCATTTTTGGGGCTTAGGGGTTTAAGGGTTTAGGGCTTTGGGGTCATTTGGGGTTCAGGGTTTAGGGTGTTTAAGGTTTTGGGGTTTAGGGTTTGCGTTTGAAGGTTTATGGGCGCCAAGGGTTTTCAGGGTTCAGGATGCAGGAATGTCAGGAGAGTGTGGATGTGTACAAACCCGACAGCTTCGTGCGTTTTGTTACCCTAAGACCAACTATTTCTGGTGCCTTAAATAAACTTGCCTACATTTTTTTGTGGGTTCGTTACTATAAGTGTAGTATAGTGGGCTCCAAAGCCCGATTCTAACTGACAAGGACCCTACGGATTTCCATGGGAATTCCTGGCAGACCCGGTAAACTAAACTCTTCAATTAAACCCTAAACCCTAAATCCTAAACCTTAAACTGAACTCTTCAAACCCGAAATCCCGGCCTGAACCGCAGCGAGGTCTCAAGCTCGTTCTCCCCGAGGGCACCGAGAGGAAGCACTTCAAAGGTGGGGGGAAACGGGTGTCTTGTTTAGGTTGTAGGCTTCAGGGTGATTTGGCAAGCAAAACCCTAAACCCTGTAACCCTGGGCCTTGCAAACCCTAAGCTGCCTTTTTAAGCCTTAGCCTGTAGGGTGGTGAACCCATGCCCCTCTAAATCCGAAAGCCTGAAAGCTTTCTGACTGGTTGAGCCCTACACTCTGCTGGAACGGTTGGCAGCGGCTTGTACAGCTTCATAACGCCATGCAAGCGGTCTCGGATGTTTGTGAAGTAATGCCGACCTAGTAACCTAACTAGTCGGTAACCCCTACAGCCCAGACACGAGAGTCTTCCTATTCTAATTATTAAGGCCCCCATATCATAGAACCCAACTACAGTAACCCTTGTAGACCCCAAATAGACCCCTTTAAAAGGAACCCTTTAAGGGAACCTTGTTGTAGGTACCCAGACCCCCGGGAGGATCCAACAAGTTGATCCCTTAATGGGGGTTCCTATAAAGTACCCTTAGTAATATAGGGCCCCAATTAGGAGATCTACTTTCTAGATCCTCCCGGGGGGTCTGGGTATTAAGGTCCCTATAGAATGAGGTTCCAGGAGCCTTGAGGACTTCATGAGTTTACAGCCTTGTGTTCCGAATTTTGCCAGACGCCACATGGGAGTTTCCGAAAATACGGGGACCCAAGGGGTTCCTTTGAAGGGATCTATAAGGGAACTATAGGGGGTTCTATAAAGGGTTTAGGGTTTACCCTATTTTGGGGTCCTTAGAGTACGGATCCTGTTATTCAGGGCACCATATTTGGATCCCGTGTTCGGTGCGTGTTAAGGCAGAGTGGAGGGACATTACAGGTGCTTGGGGTTACTCCCGCTCCTGGCCACCCTTGACGGTTTCCGAAAAACGTAGCAGACCCTGTACAGACACAACCTGCAGCAGACTCTATACAAGCATCCCCATAATAAGACCCCTAAGTTCAAGAAGCCCGTAGCTTACCGTTTCTACTTACCGTACACTCCAAAGTAACTTTGTTAAATTCAGTGGTATTGGGCCTTCTGTGCTTCTGTTGCCAGGCTACGAGCGTGTGGATGTGCCAGCGGCCTGATACCCAGCTCTCGTCTCTGGTGTTCCAGGTTTGACTAGGGTTTAGGGTTTAGGGGTTTAGGGTTTAGGTTGGAGAAAGAGGATGATTTTCCGCAAATAACACCACCACCGTCTACGCTGACGGTCATGAGGCTATTCCCTGAAAACCGCAGGTTATTGGATCTCTGAACTTGTAGGTTCCAAAGTCATCGCAATACTTAACGCTTTTTGGGATAAACTGCCGTCGGCAGCCCTAAGATCTAGACTAAGGTCTTGTGGATGTCCGGTGGTTTCCGTGACTCATTTTGACATCTATGTTATGACATGTATGCATACGTACATATATACATACACATATGTCATGTGTATGTGTATGCTTACATGTGTAATTATATGTCTGTGTGCATGTGCACATATGTGTATACATGCATATATATATATACATACATACAAACTTACATATATATACATATATACATACAAACTTGTGTGTATATATATACACACACTATAATGCCAGTGCCAAGACCCCAAGTCAAATTCCTTAAACGTTACAAAGCCTTGTGTCCTAAAACGTTTTAAGCCACAACCTTTAAGCAGCGCAAGTCTAAGTGGAACAGTTCAGATCCTGCCAGAAACCCTTTGCTCAAGACGTCCCAGCAGCTTACAACAAACCAACAAACCCTAAACTGCTGGCCCAAAACCCAAAACCCTTACACCCTACTATGCTGAACCCTAAACCATAATCGCTTCAGGCACCACCCTTCGACCCGGAGGTTGCTAAAGTGAACTACGTGCAGATCAAGGACCGTTTCGGGTTTTGGCGTCACACTTTAGGGTTAAGTTGAGGGCGTGGGGTCTATGTCTTAGGTGTCGGGTTTAGGGTTTGGGGCTTGGGGATCAGGACGGTGCGGCGCAAGCCTTTTTTACTTTTGCTGCTGCCAGCATAGTTTAGCGACGTTCACAGGTGTTTGAAGTCATGTTGAGTGCTTGCAATGTAGTACAGTACTGACTTGAAGGGTGCTGAAAGCGCTGGGCCTTATAAAAACAAGCTTCACACATGCTTTGCAAGGCAGTAGTAACGCGCTACAGCAGGTTTTAGGTTAACGGGTTTGAGGGACCCTAAATTACTACGTCATACTAAGTTCCTAAACTCTTACAGTATCCATACAGAGGCTTTTTTCAAGGAACCCTTGTAGCCCCTTTCAAACGGTTGATGGCGTAAATCCTTTATTGCCCATAACAAGGAATATAATATACCATAATTCCCATGAGGCTCAGTTAGGGTTTCAATATCTTTCCTTCTCGGTCCCACATAGGCAAAGCACATGGGAGTGCTTTACTATGGATTTTGGTTTCTGTAGGGAAAGCTGTAGACTGTGGAGCAAACCTACATGTTTAGGCTTCCACGGTTTAGGGCTTAGAGTGTCGGATTCCTTATGTTTCCCTCAGGGTCCACGTCCCTACTATCTAGATATGTAGCTATAGGAGCCCTTTGAGGCCTACATGTATACATGTGCTTTATATGAGAACCTGCACTCTTAGGGGTCATCTTGAACCTTAAGCTTAACCCCTAAGCCGTTCAGGTTGAGCTTCACTTGTTTGAAGCTCGGCAGCCTTCTAATTGCCCCCGAGTAATATGCTTGCTGACTGCCCTCCGTATACATCATTTTAAGCTAGGATTTAGGGTGTAGGGTCTAGGTTTCAGGGTTTCGGGTACCCAGCCCTTGAGATTCCTTGAGCATAGTAACACGCTTGACCTAGGTTACTTAACGTATGTCGCTTTAGTGAAGCGCTTGTTAACCTCCCTGGAAAATCACCCCTGAGGCATTGGGGTTCGGATTGGCGAGGGTTTGGGGCTCAACTGTGAGGTTTTTTATAGTGTAGGCAAGAGAACCCAAAGCAACAACAACGGAACACCCGAAAGCCGAACAAGTGAGGGGTCCAGAGAGAGATCCAATACAACACAGAAAGAGCCTCAATATTGCCGTCTAAACACCGATACACACCGAAAACCCCAAACCTTTTTCAAACCTAAACCCTTACTATCCCCACCATGCTTCACAGGAATTGCCACAGTGGGCGCAAATCGCGTTCAAAGGCACCGAGAAGTCGCGAGCCTGGGAAAGTTCCGTGTGTTCGAGGTACTACGGCTGATGGTACAGACCCTGCATTACCCATAGTAAGGAATACGCCATAAAGTTAGGGCCCTTATAATGCAGGATGTATATCATAAACCGTAGGCAACTCCAAGCCTTGTTTTGTTCAGGATTCTTCCATGTTTGGTTCAACCCTAGATTTCACTGCACCCTCACCTCTAAGGATCAAGCCTGAACAACTAAACCGAAAACTGTAAGGGTTTAGGGTTCAGGGATTAGGGTTTAGGGTTTAGGGGGCAACTCCTAGTAGTCGAGTAGGTAGCCTTTATCCTTTTTGGGGTAGTATAGTCCCAAAAGAATCCCTCTACACCCAAAAAGGTTAACCTTTACCCGACAAGTAGGAACTTGGACCAGGCTCAGGAACCCCTTCGGTAGTTAGACTTCCTTAAACCCTAAACCCTAAACCCTAAACCCTAATTAAACCCCCTTCGGTAGTTAGACTTGCAGGCACAAGAAGCCCTGGTCATGCCCCAATACATCAAGCCCGACAGCCCTGTGGATGCGAAATTCGACACCGTAATTTTGTTTAGGGTTTAGGGTGTAGGTTTAGGGTTTATGATTCAGTTAACTTCTGTTGTTGGGTTTACTTTCGTCAAGTTCCAGATAGACTATTCGACCCAGGTGTATATTATTACAGCAGCTATAGCTCTGGCCGTTAGTGTTTCTGTGCCCGGGTAGTCTCGTCATACCCGGAGGGATATTCATGCCGAGATTGGTTGCCAATACAAGACGACATAGCAACCGACAACAGCAGGAATGTGAATCCCACATTGCTGGCTGAGGCTCTACATGGAGGATCAGGGGACCTAGTAAGTAGGGTTATGAGTACCCTAATTGGGGTTATGAGTCCTTGTAAGTATGGTTACCTTATTTATAACCCTAGTAACTAAGTCCCATGATCCTTCAAGTAGTCTAGTGGCAAAGCTGTAACAATGGAAAAAGTACTGCGGTGCACTCACCGAGTCGCCTAAATCCTACTTAGAGGATCATGGGACTTAGTAAGTAGGTTTTAACTGGGGTTTTAAGTCCCCTAAGTGGAGTTATCCTAATTGTAACCTACTTATAACCTTACTTACTAAGTCCCATGAGCCTTCAAGTATCCCGAACACCAAAAGTCTCACCCTACACCCAACAAGCGCTCAACTGGATACACTTCTTCGTCTTCTTCTGATGCTTTGTGGTTCCCCACACCCCTAAACCCTAAGCTCTAATCTAAACCCTAAATGGGGTCTAACCTTAAGCACCAAATGACCCTTAAAAGCTATACCCCTATACGATGAAGCCTTAGATGATATATGAAGCTTAAACCCGCTTAGGGTTCAGTGACCCTTAAGTGCTATACCCTTATACTATGAAGCCTTATGTGATATGTGAACCTTAAACCCTTGTAGGGTTCAGTTCGTCCTTAAGGAAGGTTCACAGGTCTGAACTCCCCTAACCCAGACCTTCCAAAATCCCTTAATTAAGGAATATACCTTAAATCTTATTGGGGATCCTATTAAGATTCAGGGTATATTTCTTAATCAAGGGATTTTGGGAAGGTCTGATTAAGGAACCCTGGGCCTATAACCCCAACACTAGTGGGGTTCATATAAGGAACCCGAATGGAGGCCCAAGGTTCCTACATGAACCCTGCCAAGCCGAACTGCCGAGGCTGAACACGATCCAGTCGATTGTGTTCAATGCAGCCTTTGGCCGCTCGTGACGGACTCAGTTTAGGGCTTACTTAGAGGATCATGGGACTTGGTAAGTAGGTTATAATTGGGGTTATAGGTCCCCTAACTGGGGCTATCCTAATTATAACCTACTTATAACCTTACTTACTAAGTCCCATGAGCCTTCAAGTACCTGGGGGTCCAAAGCCCTGAGTCTTTCAGGGTCATTACCTTTGAACTAAAGGGTCACAATCTAAGCCTCAAGCCACATGCCCAACACACTACACCCGAAGCCGTCTCATTGCCCGCAGGTCAGCGGAGAAGTAGGGTGAGAACGGCCTATAGATACTTAAAGCTCGGCGGTGGGTCCTCTGGTCCTGCAAGTCTTTTTTGCACATCCACCTCCTGCAGCACCGTGTTCAATCCATGAACTTACAGCTAAGCAACACCAAGTACGTGCGATTCCAGATAACCCTAAAACCTCTACAGCCCCACAGGCGTAAACCGTGAATCCTAAAGCTTGAACCCTGGACCCCGAACCTTCACCCCCAAAGGAGCCCTCAAAGTAACCTGAAACCCAAAGCCCTGAAACCAGCCCTTAAAGTAACCTGAAACCCAAAGCCCTGAAAGGAGCCTTTCAAAGGAACCTGAAACTCAAAGCCCTAAAGGAGCCCTCAAAGGAACCTGAACCCCGAAGCCCTTAAAAAGAGCCTTGTAATGAACCCCAAAAACCCTGAGCCCTTGAAAGAGCCTCTAAAGGAACCCTAAACCCAAAGCCACTAAAGGAACTATAGGGTTCTAGAAAGGGTCCCCTTTAAGGGTACGACAAAAGAATCTGAAAGAGATTCTTGAGGCAGAACTTGCTGATCTGTGCCCCCACAGGCCTTGGGAACCCAGCGGAGAGACTTCTGCTTACAGAGGTTCCGTTTAGAGTTCCTTTAAGGGCTTGGGTTTAGGGGTTTAGGTTTTGGGGTTTAGTTCAGGTTACCTTTAATTGTTCTTGCGGGCTTCCGAAGGTTCTGATAGGTTTTAGAGCCAGGTTTTGTTTTCCAGAGGTCATAGTTCACAGTCATACAAGGTCAGGTTTCTTGAAAGGAACCTTTATCAGAGCCGCATCCTTCAAGGGAGCTGTTACACGAGCCCTTCTAGGAACCCTGAATGCTTCTTGCAGGGTTGCCTTGAGGGTCCTTAAAGGGCTCTTACATTTTTCGAGCAGGGTTCGATTTTCAGAGTTCATACTCATGTAGGTTCGGGCTTGTATTTTGGTTTTTGTGTGTGTGTGTGTGTGCGTGTGCTTTCGAGCTTCTCAGGAACACTGGTGAGTTTGTGTTTTGCATGGGCGTTATTCTGCGGATTTTTAGTGCTGAGAAAAGCTACCGCACATAATTCATCAGGGGCTGGCACTCGGGGGTGCAAAATTCAATAGCAAGGTATGGCAACCCTAAACCCTAGACTCCTAGACCCTATTCCGGCTTGAGGATGTGAAGAAGTGGGGGTTTAGGGGTCACTTGAGTTCCTCGCGTTGAGGGCTTAGAGGCTTCCACGGGGTGTTGTCAAAATTGTTGGGACGTTCATTCACTCGATGAGCGTTGTCCTAAACTCTAAACCCTAAGCCCCAAACCGAAGCCCTAAGCCTTCAACCTAAGCCGTAAACCTTCCTTAACCCCAAATGACCCACCTATTTGAGGCCTTATGTAAGGAAATCATAACTATCAGGAACTCTAAAAATGGTAGGTTATTCAGGGTTTAGGTAGTCCTTAACTCCGAAGCCCTAAACCCTAAACCCTAACCCCAAGGGTCCAAGTACCTAATAATCATATACTCTCCAACATCCTAACCCACACAACTACTATCCTAAAGCCACGTATCTGATTCCTGGGTCCGAAGCCCCGAGGCGCCGGCAAGACCAACATCGCCGTGCTCACCATCTTGCGCCTCATCGGCCAGCACATGGACGCTGCAGGCGAAGCGGAGGGGGCGGGGGAAGGGGGTTGATCGCTTCTACCAGAGGGTCCATATTTAAGGGTTCCGTTAAGGGTTCTGTAGGGTTTAGAGCAGAAGGCTCCACATACCATTATGCAGTTAGGTACCCAAACCATATTAGGGTTGAGGGTTTCTTGGTGTCCAAACTCTGGACAGGGTAGAGTGTTGTAGGAAGATCCAAATGGAACTTTGCTGCGCGGTGTTATCCAGACCTTCCAAAATCCTTGAATTCAGGAAATATGTTAAGTCAGATTCTGGATCCGGCTCCATTTTACGGTCTGTTCCTCAATTTAGGGGTGTTCAAGGCTTGAGATCTGGAGTTTACCGTCCAGATCGCGAATTCCAGCAGAAGCAGGTCCAGGGCATAAGTAGCTTTGGTATGGTATTGTATAGTACAGTATAACTCGTGTGGTTCTAGTTATAGTTTTGTTATCGTATAGTTATAGTACAGTTCTGGTATAGTAACTATCTTGGCTGGGGTCTCACTGCAAGAGTCTGCTTCTTGAAATCTAAAGTTCAGAGTGTGCCTTCGAGACTCACATGCGGCTCGCGATGTTAGCAAACGTAGCAGGAACAAGACGACGATTGTGCTGATTTCTGGTGCTGTGCATGTATACTTTGTGCTACGCATTGTATGATGTAGGGGACACTTTTGGTTCCTTTGCTTGAATCACTTCAGATCTGAAGACTTGTTGTCGAAGATGTCAACCTGTGTGAAAGCAGTGGCAACGCCACATCAACGCCATGCCATAGAAAGTCCTTACTCGCTTCTCGTTTCTTCTTTCGGGCTACTACCACGGAGCGTTATAAGGCTTAGGACTTGCAGTGTAGTGCTTGCGGCTCCTTTAAAACTCTTGGCGTTGCGGTATCTACTGCAGAAGAGGACCCTGCATGGATCTATTTCGAACAGCCCCGCGTCTCGCAGCCTGCCGGTACCAGTTCAGAAAATCATGAGCCTTGGATACGAAACCTTCATTACCAAGTTCCTCAGTAGTACCCTTTTGTCCTTTTTCTTTTTGGGTTCCCTTATTGAGGCCGAATAGTAGGAAAAAGGGTACCCTTATACAAAAGGGGCTACTCAGGAACCTAGATAATCATATAATCAAGCTCTGAAACTGAAACCATTCCCTGTCTAATCCCCAATAGTAGTCCCCATAACCCATTCCCCTATTAGCCCTACTAAGCACCAGGGGTTTGTGTGCCAGCCGCCCACCTCTATCCAGCTTTTACGTTGCCTCAAGGTGGCATCGGCCGCGACTTCAAGGCAAGTTGCGCTTCCTGAAAGCTCAAAGATCCCAATATCCCTCAATTAAGGAATAGCTAGGGTTCCTTTAATAGCATCCTTAAGGGCTCCTATAAGGGATCTATAGGGGTTAGAGTTTAAGGGATCCCAATATCCCTTAATTAGGAATAGCTGAAATTATAGGGGCCCCAATATTATGATTTAAGGTCTATTCCTTAATTCAGGGGGTATTGGGATCTCTGAAAGGGTGGAAGTACTTTGCAAGGGCTTCGTGTTTAGGGGGAGCGAGGGGCCAGTAGATGCGCGCGTCTTGTGACGCCTGCGTCGTATATTGCTGGTCGGCTAGGGTGTGGACTACTGCCCAGAGGCTCCATATATAGTGCCATTATGGAATCAGGCCCCAAAAGACCATTCATATTATGGTTTTTGGGACCTATGGCTCCATAATGGTACTATATATGGAGCCTCTAGGCTCAAGTAATATGGGGGCTTAAGTAATTTCCCATACTATTGTTGGGTTCCTTAATGAATATGACTTCAGCATAATGTACCCCCAAACCCTTTTCTAATTTGTTTAGGGCCCCTGTATTATGTTTTCAGCCGGATGCTGCACTTGAATCCCCAAGCCTTGAGCCGCAAGTGTTTTATGCAGGGTTTAGGGTTCAGGGTAAGGGTTTGAGGGGTACGAAATTGGGCTTAGTGGCTCAGTGTCCGTATTCCTTCCCCAGTTTGGCATCTGTAGCACTCTACCAGACTCTACCCCGTCAGCCATCCTAAACCACAGCCAGATGCAAGCAGTTTCAGTGTCTGAGTCCATCTGAAATTCTACTTGGCTGTCTCACGGCTTGCGTTTGGAGCCTTTGGCTTTCTTGGTTGTAACAGGCAGCAACAGTCTACATGGGAGAGTCGTTAGATGCACCTACGTGCTTGTGTACAACTGTACACGACACAAAAACAAACACTACATACATATATATATATATATATATATATTATATGTCTGCATGTGTACATAAAGTCTATGGTGCATAGTTGAACCTTGAGGCTGCAGGTTGAGGTTAGAAGCCAGACCCGTGACTGAATTGCTTGGCAACCGTATCCTCGAGCATGGCTTCTTTTTTTGCTTGTTTCTTGTACCCGGTAACCTATAACCTTTTGGGGTTTATAACCCTAAACCCTAAACCCTCTTAACCTTATAGTAGCTGAGTAGGTAACCTTTAACCGTTTGGGGTTTATACAATCCTGCCAGAACCTAAACCCTCTAAACCCCAACAGCCCGAAACCCTAAACCGACCAACAGTCAGGTCGTCTACATGGCACCCATGAAAGCTTTGGCCCGGCCTTCAATCAGATCTGGGTGATTACCCCTAGGGATCTAAGGACTCATATATAGGGTTCCTTTAAAGGGGTCTATAAGGGGTCCTTTTAAAGGGATCTATAGAGTTTAGGGATCTAAGGACTCATATATTCAGGCTTTTGGGCCCAAACACCATGCTATATAAGGCTTTTGGGCTATTTTGATCCCCAGGGTACTGCATTATCAGATCTGGGTGGTTGTCGAAATTAAGCTCCCTTCTTGGCTACCCTAAATAATAGGAGCCGTACTGAACTAGGGACCCAAAAAGGGGATCATAATTTTGAGAACCACCCATCTGCATGATTACTGCAGTTTCAGTCAGAGATCCCAACACCCCTTAGTTGAGGAATATACCTAGGGTTTCTTTAAGGGATCCTTTAAGGGATCTATCAGGGATCTATAGGGTTTGGGGTTTAAGGGTACTGCAATATCCCTTCATTAGGGAATATACCTTGACTTATAGTGGCCTTAATATTATGGTTTAGGGCATATTCCTGAATTAAGGGATGTTGGGATCTCTGGGTAGGGTTCGATCAGGATACCTTTAGGGGTTCTAGAAGGGTTATAAAAGGCTTTAGGGTCGATGGGGGTCTGTACAGAACTTAGGGTTTAAAGGAAAACATGAAAGTAATTCCGAGTATAGAAACCCTGCAATGTATTCAGAAGGTACTTAAGACGCTTTGGGTATGAAGGCAGATGTACAGTCGGTACTTTACCTTACAACGCAGCCATGGCTTGATAGCTACGGTTTAGGGTTATAGCTCAAGATTTCTGGCTACAGGAGGGTATAAATCCTGCATTGCCCATAAATATGGAGTATACTGTAAGTCCCAGAGTCTAGAGTCATTAAGGTAATGCAGGATCTATATCATCAGCCGTAGGATCCTGGAACTACATCGAAGAAGGCTATTGCTCACTAGGATTAGACCCTGCTGAATTCGACCTCTGGTACTCTCCGAAGTTGATTGATCAAGTAGATCATGCCATAGGATCGCTTCAGACTCAGTTGCACCTGTCTGAAGAAGTGAAACAAGACGTGCGATTTGCCACTCGAGGGGTCCGTGCTCCCAATTCCAACGCTAGTGTGGTGGACATGGACGGTGATCGCTGGCTTGGACCTGCGGCTTACCCAAAGGCACACGATTGGCTGACTACGTCAACTGCGTTTTCAGGAAGGCTACAGGCAGAACTCGTGACGGGACTGTAACTGATCAGGTGCACGCGACGCCAAGGTGACGACTTCGACAGGAACGTCGCTGATAGATTGGGTGCAGTTGCCTACAAATTACCTAGGAAGCTTGGCAACAACCGTGAAGTATAACCCGCTGAAGCAATTGATAAGTGGACAATAACAGGTCAAGCGTTGACTCTGCAGACTGGGAGTGTCTCATCTGGGTCTGACCCATTTGCCAAGCTGTAATATGAGGTTCCCGTAGGGCCGTAGGGGGTTTAGGGTTATGTAAGGGTCTAAGGGCCCATATATTAAGGATACCGTACAAGGCATCTAGGCTATTTTGAGCTTCAGGGTAAAGCTGCAAACCCGAAGGCATCAGGCTCTCGACTCCCAAACGCGTCAAGCTCGAGTATCAACGCCTCAACCCTTCAATCTGACCTTAGAGAGAAACCGAGCATCTGAAACAAACCATGGGGGAGTGGATCCCTATAATACTGCTGATGGACAAAATCCTGCATGACCCTAAGGACTCTAAACTATGGGAACTACGGTATACTCTTTACAATGGGTAATGCAGGATTTTGTCCATCAGCAGTAGTAGCCCTAATTAAATAATCCCTAGTAAGATCCAGGCAGACTGAGTCGCAGGGGTGCAGAACCCAGGTCGGGGAAGTGTCTGAGAAGTTTCAGCAGCGTCCCGGCCTCGACCGGAGTTCCTTTCAAGGGCGCCTTGACAGGGTTTATACCTAGAGGCTCCATATATAGTACCATTATGGAACTAGGTCCCAAAAACCATAATAAGAATGGTCATTTGGGGCCTGATTTCATAATGGCACTATACATGGAACTTCTGGGTAATGGGGTTTATCAGGTTGGTGGGTGTTTATATTGTGTAAAATCGGGCTGAGAAGGTTGTAAACAATTATCAGGGCTGTTTTGGGTCTAAACTATGCTTTATAGACTTCGGAGGGGCCATACAGGGTGATAGGGTTTATGGGGTATGAAGGGTTTATGGAGTCAGGATTAGTGGGACCCTCGGGGATATAGACCCTCTCAAAAAGGTCCCTTTTAAGAGAGCCAGAAGTAGGGTTCGGAAGGGGTACCCTTTAAGGGGTCTCCCTCATCATGCTACCCAGTTTACGGTTTATTACAAGGTGCCAGTATGGCTTCTACAGGAGTTTAGGGCTTTCGGGATTTGGCATTTTTTGGTTTTGTTGGTGAGTTTCAGGGTTGTAGGGCAAGGATACAGGTTGTTCAGGGTTCAGGCCGGGTTCTGAGATTAAGGGCCTCAGCGTTCTAGGGTCCTTTAGGGTTTAGGGTTAGGGCTGAGACTTCTGAAACGATCTGCGGCATCCCCCGAATCTGCTAATACCAAACTCGGCAATCTCGAAGCGACAAGTCTGGTCAACAGGAAGCTCAATGCAGTTTCGTTTAGGTACTGCACCCACTTCGTAATAGTCGGATAATGTTTGTAACACAGCTAGAAATAGAAAAATGGACCTTGTAGACAGTTACAGGGTGGGCGCAGTACCCAAAATATCATTGGTCCTGGGAAACGAGTTATGGGGTTTAGCCGAAACGGTACATCACGTTCAAGGCTTGTGTCTCATCACTGCGGTTTCCATTTTGCCTCCTCCTGTCCTTCCTCCTCCAACTCCTACTGCCTACTGACAGTACAACTATGTGCAGGTAGTTGTGCTTATTTCTACCTCCTTATGCTGCTACGTTTGCTACTAAGTACTTCTTACCATTGCCTACACGCTCCACTGTTGCCAGGGCGAAACCTAGACGACACCCAGCACCGCCCAACACTGGGTCTGTGTCTGCGGGACCACTCACCTTGCAATGCGACACGAGTATTGTGTATGAATCCACGACTGCCAGCAGTATTGAAGATAACTCACTGAGCTGCGCGGGGTTATTCATTTGGGGGATTGCATGTTAATTAGTGTGTAGAGTCTTCAAGTGTTCAGAGAGCACCATACCATGGGCACGATCCTTACTAATTAATTCGCTTTATGGCTTAAGGGCTTTTGAACCTTCATCACCAATCCCTACAGCCTTGGTGAAGTTTTGACGAGTGGTGTTTGGGGATGACAGCTCGTTCTCGGCTCGTCAAGAACATGGTTGAGGAGCTTGCCGGAAGATTCTATATTGACAACAACAACAACAGCAGCAACAACAAAGCAACAGCAGTACTACCAAACCTGGCACCACAAAGCCAAACCCCTGCAACCCTATAGAAACACTGCAACTAAGCCCGAACCCGACTTTTCCAGCTACACAGAAACTGCAACTCTCAATGCCGAAATCATCAAGTGCATATAGAACTCCTATTGAACCCTTTCCGGAACGTATGCTCTTTGGGGCCAAAAGCCCACACCCTCGAGCCCTAAACCCTAGTCAAATTAGTCCATTGAGCCTTGGGGAAAGGGTTTTGAGAACAAAGATAGCTGAAAAGACTTACGCAGCATGGTCTTAGGGCTTCATCAATCTATCAATCCTATACAGACTCAGGGAGAGGATTTTCGGGATCCCTAAACCCTAAACCCTAAACCCTAAACCCTATTTTTTCGCAGCTATGTCGGACGCAGAAGTCGAGTTGGCTTTGCGCAGACCCGAAGCAGTCCCCTGGAAGACTTTGGGAGTTTCTAGGATTCAGGGCTAAGGTTCCTTTAAAGGGATCTATAAGGGTTTAGGGCCTATATAGGGTTTATGGTATGTATATATATATATATATATATATGTTTTAGGGGTTTAGGGGCTACCCTAAGGCTCCCAAAGGTGTCATGGGCTTTCTGGGGGAGGGTTTGGGCTTTGGGAGCTGAGGTTTGGGATCTCACAACGAGGGTCCAGGAGCCTTAGGGTAGGGTTGAGGGCTTCGGGTACAGCTCTTTGGCAAGTTCCCTGAAGGGTGCCAAAAGGGTAGTAGAAGATTACTTAGGGGCGCATTACGTGTTGATGCTTGAGGCTCAAGAACCAGGTCCTTTTTCTTAGGTCTCCAAGACAAAGAAGCCTTTAAGGTAAAAGCCAGAAAGTTGGAATATGATTATCCTAACCCTTCTATGGTAAATTATAGGGTATACTACCCTTAAACCATATTCCAACTTTCTGGAGTTCCCTTTAGGGCATCTTACAGAGATTCAGGCTTCGGGTTGCAATACGGTTGATGATATAAATCCTGCATTACCCGTAATAGGCAATGTACCATTATTCCCATAGTTTAGGGTCCTTAAGGTGATGCAGGATTTATATCATCAACCGTACTACATGGCTTGGCAGTTGAAAGAAAGGTTGCAGGGCTAAGGATGCACTCTTGCAGAAAAGGTGTTGACAGTATTCTACAGGGAGTTTGTTGGGAATTGTTGTAAGGTTGGATCGCCTGTAAAGCAGGGTTTCAGAAGACATGATCATGAAGGCGATGCAGAGATCTTTCAGGTTGTACAGGGCTGAGGGCTTAGGGGTTGAGGGATCGGAATCGCAGGGGAAAGGTTTAACCTTTCACTGAAGCTTCAAGAAACTCGACAAAGTTCCTAAATAATCGCAAGGACGCCTCCACACCAACAAAACCCGAACCTGCCGGAACTGCGCGGCCTGTGGGGTCTTGCAAGGTTCTGAGGTCTCGGAAGCCAAATCCTTCTCGCGGGGTTAGGGGACTTTCGTAGCTAGTCAGGGTTAATTATAAGTTAACCCCCCAATCTCGCCCTCTTTGAGGTACGTGCCACTCCTGACCTTCAGCCCGAAACCCCATACCTGAACCCTACACCAAAACCCAAAACCCTTATTATGGCCCTTATACCTACTTGCTAGGTCCCCCGACCCTCCGAGAAGGGTGGAAACCAAGTTTAGGGTTTTAGGGTTTAGGGTTCAGGGAGAGGGGACTTGACGATCTAGTTAGAGGTTTTGTCCAACGTGCTCCATTGACGCGTCCAGAGGTGATTACAGGGGCTTGAAAGAGGCTTGCTGCGGCCTTAATGGTTACAATTGGCTGTGTGTGTGCATGATATCATGATCTTTCTCTGGACTTTAAGGGGGCACCACTTGAATTTCATTTGTCGACCTCTTTTATAATATTTACCCACTTCATACCAGCACTCCAACTACACAAACCCACACAAACCCTATCTTCGTTTACATTGATATTCAGGACACTTTAAGAGTTGAAACCCTGAGAAGGGCTCAAGGACATTCCTATACGAGATGTATTGGGTTCTGTTCGTTTGTAAAGCTACAATACCCGTACCAACAATGCTAAAACGTTCCCACTTGATTAAGACCTTATCAGACAGGATGTCAGCTTCACGACCGCAAACCTTATACCTTCAAGATGGAATATTCCACCGCGGAGAGCATGGCCGCGGCAAAGATCGGAGAGGCCTTGGTTGTAGTGCTTGCCTGGACCCCAAAGAACCTACCTTTTTAGGGTTCCCTATTAGCCCTATTATGATTTCCTCATATAAGTCCGTGAAAGGTAGGTTATTTGGGGTTAAGGTAGGGACTAGGGTTCAGAGTTTTAGGGCTTAGGGTGTAAAGCTTTAGGGCTTAAGGTCTAGAGCTTCTGGGCTATTGGGCTTAAGGTTACGGGTTAAGGGCTTTCGGCAAGCCCAGGTACCTCAGCAGGGTTCTAGGGCTCTAAGGAGCTTCAATCACAAGGCCCCCCGGGAGTACCCTTCTGACATGTGAATTTGGGGTCAACAATACAGGGGCCGTAATGAGTATATAGAATGGGGTTCCCTTAAAGCGTTCTCATACAGGGTTAAAAAGGTATAGTAGGTTAGTGTAGTATAGGGGCCTTAATATTTAGAATACGGCTTTGGGGCCCACATCATACCACAACTATCAGAAACTATCAGAAGGAACCCCCCCCAAAAAAAAAATAAAAATAAAATAGTATTGGTAACTATTTAGGCCCCTTTGTTAATTATCCGGAAAAATAAACCGGATGCCGTTATTATCAAGCGATGGTGGGGAGCTATATTCAAATGAAAAGTACATAAAAAGAGGGTTAGAGTGCCTGGAATGCTCAATTATGGATTGCCGAGCCTGACCCCTAGACCCTAACTACTTAGGGTTTGGGGTTTCGTACAGGGGTTCTGCTGCTTTGCTCACGCGTGGGATAGGGATCCACGGATGTGTTGTTTCGCTTTGGGGTCGTTTTTCTCAGTCTTCGTACTGAGGTATCCTCGAAACGCTGTACTTTAGTGGCTCAGACGAGAACAGAAGCTTGAACAACTAGCACTGAGGGCGCCGGTTTTGGCTTTGCGGTTTAAGGGAAAGGGATGATGAGGGCTAAGGAACTATATATTAGAAGCTGCCCCCACCCGGTAATAGTGACTATAAGGATTATATTAGGGCCCGATTATATTCCTATTATACCACTATTACAGGTTGGGGGCCCCTTCTAAACTATATAATTATATAATTATTCTGCAGCATCCCCTGGGACTAAATACCGAAACAGCCTTGATCAAGGAATGTCAACCCGTACCAGCGCACGAATCATACGACACGGTACACAAACGTACGGATCACTAAACCCTGTAGACCTAAACCGGGCAGTCCTTGGCGCACAGGAAAAGCATCCTTGCAGAAACGTTCGTCGCATTGCAGAGAGGACTATGGTTCTGGCTTCACGCACGTTTGAGCCCAGTGAAGTTTGAGGTCTTCTTCTGAAATCGAAGCCAAAAGCCAACAAACTTAAACCGATCCTTACTATAAACCCTAAAGCCTCAACTCCCAAGTCTCTGCGCTTAGAAAACAAACTCCTAAGTCTCCGAACAACAAACTCTAAACCCTGGCTTTCTCAGGGCCGAGGTCAGGGCGGTGGTTGGGGAAGCTTTAGATTTTCCAGGGGGTGGCTGGGTTTCAGGGTTTACCTGTAGTCTCCATTGTAGCTCCTTTTTTTGGTTATCCAGTTTTATGGTTAGGATGCTACAATAGAGATTCTAGCCCTTAGGGCTGTTTGGTTCCTACTTGGAGGGTCGGGGGACTTAGTAAGTAGGTAGTAAGTAGACTGATAAGTACCCTAAAAAGGGACCCTAATTGGGGTTAGTCACGGTTAGTCCTTCAAATAACCAGTTACTAAGTCCCCCGACCCTCCAAGTAGGGGGTGTCTGGGTTTCAGGGTTTAGGCTTTGGGCTACCTTTGTGAGGGTTCCTGTCAGGGATCTTTAGGGTTTACGGGTCTAGGGTTTTTCGGGCCTAAGATGATTTGGGGTTGAGGTTTTAAGTTTTAGGGATCTTGGTCTCTAGGCCTCGATTTGCAAGTTCGTGTAGGTCGGAAAAATCAGAAATCCCTGACAGCCCCGGTCTGTTCAAATCACATGTGGGAGTTTCCGAAAATTAGGAGTAATTACCTTAAATTGTGGTCCTTATAATAAGGTCCTACTATTTCGGATACTCCATCAGGGCCCCCTATTATCGGAAATTCCCGTTTGAAGTGCACCTTAAAGTTGTTAAACGGGTCTTTGGCTTTCTCGTGGATGTTGCCTTTGCCATGAACCCTAATTAATCTGAGACCTAGACCCCAAACCCTAAACCCTACAGATCCTTTAAAAGGACCCCAGAAAGGTAACCCCAACCCTAATCCCTAAGCCTCAATATAGAGGCCTGAAGAATTACCTATACTATTTGGGGGGCTCCTTGTTAGAATTATAGTATCATATACCCCAAAACCCTATTCCAGTTATTAAGGCCCCTATACTATAGAACCCTACTATAGATCCCTGATCCCTTATAGACCCCTTGTTAAAGGACCCCTTTAAAGGGAACCCTATTCTGATTCTTAACAAAGGGTCCTATGTACCGATATAGTAGAATGTAGGGTTTCCATATTAGGAATTACTATTATGACTTAGGAAGTATCCCCCATAACAGTACATTGGACCCTTTGGGTAAGGTACCTATACCATTCGGGTTGCGGTTTCGGCTCGGGGGTTCTCCTTGCTTTGGGCTTCAGGTTCGTTTCTGGAGCCTCTCTGCTCCAAGTTGACTATGGGAGTTTCCGGAAATAGGGGACCCTAATACAGTGCCCTACTTTATAGGATCCTTACTATAAGGACCCCGAAATAAGGTACCCTATTTTCGGAAACTCCCCTATCCTAGGACAGGTTAAGGGTTCAGGGTGGGATTTAGGATCTAAGGTTTAGGGTTTGGGGCCGTTTGGGGTTTAGGGTTGGGAGATGTGTCTGAGTAGTAGAGTAGGGTCCAAGTTGAATATATCCTGAGGGTTAAGCGTTCACCGGGACCCTGTATGTGCAACCTACCTTTTAGAGCTCATTATTATGAATTCCTGGGGCTTAAAGTTTAAGGTTAGGGCTGAGGGTTCTTAGCAGTAGAGTTAGCAACAGTTAGCCTTCTCGGGGTACCATGATCCCTACCCACTCCCAATACTTAACCTTTAGTTCGCGTAGGATGCTGGACAACCAGGTCGGAGCTCTGTTCGGGGGCTATACTGTACACATGCAAGTAGTTATTCTAAACCCTAACCCGCTAAACCCCTAAAGCCCCAAACCCTAACCCACCCTAAACGCTAACCCCGCTAAACTCTAAACCCAAAGCTCCCAAAGGAGAATTTTGCAATTGGAATTCCAAGTGCCAGCACGCGAGTCAGTGTGATCATACATGTTTCCCACAGTCTCCATGTACCTTTAAAATAGAAACTGAAGCCTCAAAGAGGTCCCTTTATAGGCACTTTAAAGTTTGATGGGCTTAGGGTACACGCCGGCACAAGCATAAGTATACGTGCAGAAGTACGTGCGATGTTATTTGCTGTGTGGCTTAATGTCTGGACTCTACAGTTTAGGACAGTTTAGGAGGCAAAAAATCCCCCTTGTCGTATAGACATATATCGTATTCACAACCACTAACGAATAAGTATACGTACATATATATATATATATATATATATGTATCATGTATGCGAACCTTATATATATATATATATATATATATACAGACATATACAAAGACACATACATATACATATGTGTATGTATGTATGTATGGATGTATGGATGTATGTATGTATGTCTATGTCCACTTGTGAGCCAGGAGCCGTGCCGAAGTTCCGGCGTGAAAAACTCGCCGTCGCCCTCTACACAGTTGCCCGGGTCATCGCCAACTTGACTGTTGGGTTTCTCATTTTTAGACACGAATTCAGTGCTGGACACGGCGACACACTCGACGCAATCATAGCAATGATTTGCGACGGCCTCGTGAGGCCTGTGGTTACTGGGCTTGGGGTATTTATGTTGTTTCATCGGCCACTGCGATTGTCGGACACGTCGCAACTACATCTTTGGACCCGACGGGCCCTCTATTGCCTCGCCTCCTGCCATCTCGACATCGCCTTTATCTTCTGGCAACTGAGCATGAACAGTCTGTTACCGCTCACAGTCATCATTTGGGAAGGCTTGTGCAATGCCCTACAGATGCACATGACGAATATCAAGATTCACGCCCTGGGCTTGCAACAGATTGGACGAGTCTGCAAAGCACTGACAGGCGCAATGGCTTGCTTCTGGGTACTTTTGTTTGCCACTGTGTGTGCTGTGTTTGTTGCTCCCCAATCATCTTTCACCATGTGCGCTGACAAGGCCAGTCAAGCAGCTCTCATGCTTGCTGCAGCTTCGAGCATGCTGGTGATACTGGGTCAGCTTCTGGGCTTGTGTTTTGCAGCTGGCAGAGCTCTGCATGCTGGGTGGCAGGATGCAGACGTCAGGCATACTGCCTGCCTCCTATACGTCAACTCCATGCTACAGCTTCTGGGCCCCATGATGAGTGTAAGGGGGGTTCACGGGTTTACCTGCTTCTACAGTGCGGAGAGTTGCGACGACCTGACATTTCTGACGCTGGACATCTGCTTTCAGGTGCTAAACGTGTTGCTGCTAAGTGGTCTGGTGGGGCCCCAGCGGTGGCAGGATCCCATGGCGGCCTTTCAGAAGCTCGCGAACCTCCAGGGTTTCGGCCTCGCTTCCAAGCGCATCGCCTTCTCCGGACATGTAAACGACAATGCCAGTGACTGCATCGTTTCTTTCCCCGGCAAATACAGCGAGGAGTGGGACCAAGCCGTCTCTGTGGCGAAGACCCAAGAAGCCTTTTCGCTCGCTTGCGTGTTCCTCACGGACAGGGCTTCCGGACTGGGCGTCCACTGCGACAACCCCGACGACCCGGGAGAGTGCTGGTGCCGTGCCATCTACGGGCACCTCCCTGCTTCCACCTACATCAGCGTAGTCGACATGCGCCCTGAGATGCAAAGTTCCGAAGCCAAGATCGACTTGGAGTTCAAGCTTGCAGACGCGGAGGCCATGGGGCAATGCCTGGCGACTCGGCTGGCCAGCACTGTCGGCGAGTAATGACTGGTCCGAAGGGTCCATGTACCCACATATAATGCATATATTGCGTAAATTGGAGACCCGGAGTAGACCCAACATACGTACTTTGGGGCCAATGTATATACTATTTGAGTAGATGGACCGTTTGAGAGTGTTCGTAAAGCTTTGCCGCTGTCGGGGAGACCATTGCTCACCCTTAAGGATTGAAGGGGGTGAAAAGGTATGAAGGTCATCAACAATAAGGTCATTCGAGATGCGCATTGCGGCGAAATCGAGTGGCAGCGGAAGCTCGCCGACGCCGAGGAGGACGCCCGCGCCCGCTGCGCCGCAAACCATGGCCGAGCTCCTTGGGGCTGTCGATGGTTCGAAGACTGGAGGAGGAGCCTTGCTTTTGATGAAAAAAACTGAAGTTTAACGAGGTTTAGAGAGTCTGTTTAGAGTAAATATAGAGTAGTTTAAGGGCATTGGGGCTGTCGTTGGTTCGAAGACTGGAGGAAGCGCCCTGGCTCTTTTTTGTTTTTATCTCGAAGCCTAAATTACCAAAAACTATTGTTCTTAGGGTTCCTTATTTTTGTTGTTAAGTGCCCTGGTTCCTTTTTCTTTCTTAAATCAACTGGTGTCATGAGTTTGGATTTGAACAATCGTTTTTTGAGGATATTTGGAGGGTTGATTTACTATAGGGGCATGAAAAATTAGAATAGATTTTGGGGGGCCCAGCATACTATGAGTACAATCAGGAGCCCCCAAAATAGTGTAGGTTTAGGTAATTAGTTATTAAGGCCCCTACAGTAGGCTCGAAGACTGCAGGAGGAACCCGGGATTGTCTGGGTTTTGTTAATCACAACAAGATTTAACACAGCAGTTCTCTTGTTAACATGTTTAGAAGAGCGTGTGTGTGTGTGTGTATGGATGTATGTATGTATGTATGCATGCATGTATGTGTGTATATATATATATATATGTTTATATACACATATATACACACATACGGTTGTTTATTCAATTGTTCGTTTCTGCGCATGGATGGATGGATGGATGGATGGATGGATGGATGGATGGATGCATGGATGGATTGCGGGAGGGACGGATGGGTGGAAGGATAGATGGAAGGAAGGATGGATGGAGGGATGGATGGATGGATGGATATGCATACCGGGACTCTGAACTCTGAACGGTGAGTCATGCCATTATGATCCTACGCGCGTTCGTGATGCCTCCAGTTTTGAGGGCAGGCAAGTAAGTAGTTATGTGGCGGCGACAAAAGACAGCCCAGGAACGTGCACAAGGCCGTGGAGCTCAAGCAAACCCTCCACGTCTTCTACTTCGAGGACCCTGAACCCTAAGCTCCAATACCCTGAAACCCTCAATCCCCAAACCGTTTTAGCCAAAAAAGTGAACCTCTAGTTCCCCATGATACCCGACAAGTAGGTAAACCTTCAGCAGAAAAAACAGCTTTCCTTCTTTTCTGTTTCGAGGATCGGAAGGGCCGCGGCAAGATGAGTTGGGATGAGCTTCCTTCGGAGGAGGTGCAAGTCGTTTCCTCGGGCTTTCCATCGTCCTGCCTCTCCCCTCCATCTACACTATATAGGGTTTAGAGTTTAGAGTTTAGGGCTTTATCAGACCCTTACTACCCTTCATTTGGGACCATATTCCCTCCTATTTGAGGGTACAAAGCCCCAGAGGGTCAAGTATTCCCTATTATAGGACTTTAAGGCTTTTTTAGGTACCAAACACCATAAACAAGGACTACTTGGACCCTTAGGGAGCGGGTCCTGGTACACTTCCTGTCTTTTCGAATCCCCAGTCCAGTTTCGAGTCCCGAAGCCTAAACCACTCTGAATCCTAAATGCTTCTTGGAGGGTCGGGGGACTTAGTAAGTAGGTAGTAAGTAGACTTAGAAGTACCCTCAAAGGGACCCTAATTGGGGTTATGGTACTTATAAGTCCTTAAAATAGCCAGTTACTCAGTCCCCCGACCCTCCAAGTGAACCATAGGAACGTTCCAAAAGGTGGCTGCTTAAGTTTAGGGTTACATTAAGAGTTCTAGCCATTCCAGCCAAAATGTTTTGGATTCCCGACAAGCAAGCAAAAACCTTTCAGCTACAAGGTGTTTGATAGCTGTTAGGTAAGGGTTGCTAGAAAGTTATCGATAAGGGTCCTAACCTCACAAACAAGGTGAGGGCCCTATATCCCGGATCCTAAACCCTGCACCTTCATACCCTGAATCAGGGCTTGATAAGGGTTCTGTAAGGGTCAGCATAAAGGTAACTATAAGGGTCCTAACCTTGTATATGCTCTTGTATTCCCTACCGTTACCCAGACCCCCGCGAGGATCCGAAAAGTAGATCCCTTAATGGGGGTTCCTATAAAGTACCCTTAGTAGTATAGGGCCCCAAATTAGGGGATCTACTTTCTAGATCCTCCCAAGGGTTCTTTAAGGGTTAGCATAAAGGTAACCATAAGGGTCCTAACATCATATACCCTAAACCCTAAACGGCCCTAAACCCTAGACCCTAAACGCTCTTGTATTCCCCACATAACCCATTTAGATAAAACCCTAGCGATCATAAACCGTATCAGCCCTTAACCCTTAATCCCTAAACCCTCAAACAACTTTTTAGTCCCTACCGTCAAGAGATCCCTCTAAAAGGAGCCCTTATAGATCCCTTTAAAAGGACCCTTTGTGTAGATCCCTTTAAAGGAACCCTCTTGGTAAGAGCTGAAAGGCCAAGGCGCGAGTTCGGCAGCAGAGTGGGCTCGGCGCCTCGCAAACCGCGGAGGTTGCCTACCTGGACAAAGAAGGCGGGGTTCCTTAAAGGGTTTAGGGTTAAGGACTTAGGAACTATATAGAGAGAGAGAGAGAGAGAGAGAGAGAGAGAGAGAGAGAGTTCCTGAAAGGGGTCCTTAAAGGGATCTATAAGGGTCCTCTAAGGGATCTATAGAGGGTTCCCGGGTTCCTTTAATTAAGGGCTCCCTTTAAGCGCTTCTTTTAAGCGCTTCTTTTAGGATACTTACGGATAGTGGCTAAGAAGTGGCTTACCTGGACAAAGAAGGCGGGGTTCAGGGGTTCCTTTCATGGGTCCCTTAATGGCGTCCCTTACAGTGGTTTTGAAAGGGATCTTCGGGGTTCCATTAAGGGCTCCTTTTAAGGGCTCCTTTAAGGACAAAGAAGGCGGTTCCTCCACTTAAAGGACTTAGGAACTAACTCTAGGGTCCCTTAAATGGGTTCCCCTAGAGGGATCGACAAGGATCCTATAAGGGATCTATAGAGGGCTTCGGGGAGTTTCTGGCTGAAGGGATCTTGAACTTTCACGAACCATAGGACCATAAGACACGAAAAAGGAGGGGCCCTCTACCCTTATGCTCTGAATCCCGAAGATGAATGTACATGAATCTTATAAAACCCTTGAGGAATGATTTCGTCCTTTGGGTTCGGATGGCCGAGGGTTCTCGGTCTGGGACTGGGAACGCGGAAATCAGACGCATGTGTGCCGGTTGTGGAACCTCCCCGTCAACGTCAGTTGCGCATGTCATGGTCCACTAGATTAGAGTGCTGCACCATGCGCTTGAGCTTTCGCCATTCAATCGACATCAGACCAAAGTGACATACTAGTCTAGAGAGATTGGATGCTGGTGAGACATCGACTTGTTCCCAGCAAGTCGAAAGAGCCTTTCAGTTTGCTCGATAGAGCTTCAAGCCCTGCAAAGCCAGGCATCTTAGAAAGCCCATAATCTAGGGGCCTGAATAATTAGAATAAGGTTTGGGGGGTATATTATACTATAATATTAAGAAGGAGCCCCCCCAAAAGCCATATTCAAATTATTAAGGCCCCTACATTAGACCCTGAGCCAGAACCCTCCAACCACCAGCAAGGCCCTAAACACTAGAACAAAAGAAGCAACTTAGACCCAACTACACTCTAGTATGCCTTAACTACCCACTATAAAGGACCATAAGGGCTCCACGGTTTAGGGTCTAGGGTTAAACCCTAAACCCTAAACCCGGGGTCAAAAAACAAGCCTTTAATCCCTGAAGTTGGTGATGCCGAAAGCTGCTTTCGTCCTCCCAGCAGGCATTGCCTACGTTGAACACGACATCCGTGAGTTTCAGGAGCGGTTTAAGAAGAGTTGCGGCTCATTCAAAAAGGGACGGGTGTTCACTCATCCGGGGTTTCCGGTTTTTGTGGATGAGTCAGAGCTTCCGGTTCTGCCCAGAAGCCTCCTAGACCCTAAACCCTAAACCTGGCGCACCTGCATATTGGCTCCTCTCCACCTGCGAACCGTACATCTTCTTGGCTTACTTCGAAAGTATAAACTCAACAGGACAAAGCCTGTCTGGTTTTATGATATGACCGGTTGAAACCACAGAGGCCACTAAGTACGGTCTGCAGAGTCGTGGATCTTGAAATTCAGGCTCTATGGTCGGTTGGCTGCTGATCTGGATCTGGTTTCGGGTAACCTTGAGGCCCAAATGAGCCTTACAAGTAGGGGCCTAAACCCTTCTACTATGAAACAAGTAGGGGCTGTATGCCCATATAATATGCATCCCTATGAATGCTCGTATGGTACAGCAATTGTCCCCATGATCTATGCCCCGAACGAACCCTATAGAACCCTTATAGTAGACCCTTAAAGGGACCCTTTAAGGAGCCTTATATACCCCACCCCAAGGGCCCCTATGACAGGACTTAGTCTGCCCTCCGAGCCCTTCACAACTGCGGCCACAGCCGTGCAGAGAAAGACCCGACGGTGCAAAGAAAAGGGTCATACTACTTGGAGGGTCGGGGGACTTAGTAACTGGTTATTTTAAAGACTTGTAAGTGCCATAACCCCAATTAGGGTCCCCTTTAGGGTACTTATAAGTCTACTTACTACCTACTTACCAAGTCCCCCGACCCTCCAAGTACCCTTTCAACAGGGTTTAGAGTTAAGGGTTTACTTATTAGTTTCCTTAAAAGGGATCCTTAAACGATTCTATAAGGTATCCACAAGGGGTCCACGCATGGCACGTCCAGTAATGTAGGGGCGTTTATCATTGGGATAGGGTTTTTTGGTGGTTCCTCATCATACATAATTATGGTGTAATATTCCCCCAAACCCTGTTCTAATTATTAAGGCCCCTGTAGTAGCGGTCCCCAACCTGAAGAGTCCGACATAGGAGTTTCTTACAAAATGCTTCCAAGGATCTTATAGTTAGGGCCCTAGACCTAGACCCCTTGAGGACCCAATGATAAGCCCAAAGGGTCCTATGTACCGATATAGTAGAATGTAGGTTTTCCATATTAGGGATTACTACTATGACTTAGGGAAGTATCCCCCGTAACAGTACATCGGACCCTTTGGGGAAGGTATGTAGATGCAGGACTGGAGTTCCCTTTCATGGTGGTGTTTTTGGGAGGAGGGCTAGGTTTTCTACGTGGATCCACCATTTTTCTGGAAAGCTCGCGATCCCCCCCGGAGTTTTGGAGCCTTTGTGGGTTTAGGGCATTAGGCAAGGGGGGTTCGCATATCTAGGATGCCCAGTAGTACCCTTATTCCCTTTTTGTAGTCCTAGGTTCCTTATAAAGTTACCCACTACCAAAAAGAGAGGCCTCTTTATTCTTAGGTTACTGGGTATCCTAGTTACTCAGAGGTCCCACTATCCCTTCATTAAGGAATACCTAGGGTTCCTTTAAAAGGATCCTTAAGGGTATCCTAGATATACTACTCCATGATGAAAGCTGGTACCTTACAACCATGGCTCGGGCGATCTTTTGCTTCCTCTTTCCGTCATGGTACTACGGTGGATGATATAAATCCTGCATTACCTTAAGGACCCTAAACTATGGGAATTATGGTATATTCGTTATATTATGGGTCATGCAGGATTTATATCATCAACCCTAAACCCTAAACCCCCTATAGATCCCTTAAAGGAGCCCCTTAAAGGTACCCCCTGTAGATCCCATCAAAGGGGGTAGGTGCCCCTTTTCGGTCGTAAAAGAGTTTCTGTACCTTAAGGACCAAATGAGCCTCAAAGCAGGGGGCCCCACACCCTGATGCTCCGAATCCCTTTTTGTGGTATAACCCTAAACCCCTATATAAACCCTTATAAACCCCAAACCCTTAATCCCAGGCCCCTAAACCCTAAACCCCTAAGCCCTTTACACCAACACCCTTAATCCCAAGCCCCTACACCCTAAACTCCTAAACCCTTACAAACCCTAAACCCTTAATCCCAAGCCTCTAAACCCTAAACTCCTAAACCCTTACAGACCCTAAACCCTTAATCCCAAGCCCCTAAACAACCTAAAGGTAAGGGCTCCAGAACGGTGTTGGCTTCTTTTTGGGTGTCTCAGTTCGGCCCCCAGGTTGCAAGCTTAGGGTTTCGGGTTTCGAGTTTTGGTGTTTAGGGGTTTTGGGGGCTTAGGGTTAGGGTTTAGGGTTTAGGGCTTAGGGTTTGGGGTTTCGGGTTTTGGGGGTTTAGGTGTTTTGGGGTTTAGGGTTTAGGGGTTAGGGGTTTTAAGGGTTTAGGGGTTGTAAGGGTTTAGGGGTTTAGGGGTTGAGGTTTCGGGTTTAGGGGTTTAGGATTTTAGGGTTTAGGGAGACCCGAGCCCTCAAACTGGCTCGGAAATGACCCTCCAAAACAAGGCCTGAGACCCTCATACTATGAATACCAGTATGGTATATGAGCTTTCAAGTCAATTATGGCGCTCATTCCGTCCTTATAAGAAACACAAGAGCCCGAATCCCTAGAATCCCTAAAACAAGAAATCCTAAACCCTTGTGGGGTTCAGTTCGTTGTTAAGGAAGGCCGTAGAAGCATCTAATGCCGCCAGGCCAGGAAGCCCCATGGATGCTTGCATTTGAGTTACAGGGTTTAGGGGTTTGGGGGTTTCGGGTTTAGCTTGTAGGCTTTGGGGCTTTAGGGTTTTGGGGTGAGTGTTTCTAGTTGCAGTAGTGTCAAAGCCAGTCACAACCAACAGGTATCTTGAGCCCCAGGCAAAGGCCCGACCAAGAGTTGGAACTGCTGGCCCCCGTGCGGGTGTTCTAGGTTGCGGCATGGTTTCGACTTGGCTGCCTTAGATGTACTTGGAGGATCATGGGACTTAGTAAGTAAGCTTATAAGTACCTTAAGTGGGGTTATAAGTATAGTTACCCCAATTATAACCCCAGATACTAAGTCCCATGATCCTTTAAGTAGCCCTGAGAGCCCCAACTAGCCCGAAGCAGGGCTTCTAGACTGGAGCCTTGGCATCGTTCAGTCAGTTTTTCGTACGTGTTCGTGCTGGCTCTGTTCAGGCTCCTGAACTAGCTAATAATGAAGCTTGTCGCTCTGGGGGTTCTGTAGGGATGACGTTGGCATAGCTACAGTTTGCAATAAAGGATCCGCCGAGGTCTGGTCGAGGGATGCCCGGAGTTCGTAGACTAGCAATGTATATGCTTTCAGAAATGTAGCTCTTAGTCCAGCTACAACGAGCTTCAACGACCCAAACGCACCTTGAAGGCAAGGGGACAGGAACAATCGCTGTCTCGCATCGTCTTTGCTACCACGTTGGTTGCTCCAGGAATGGACGGACCACCGGAGCACAGCAGTCCACAGCAAGTCGCAAAGGCCTATAGTCTAGAAGGTCTTCAACTACAAAACCTACAACTTGAAGCTAGTAAGACCCTGCATCCCGACAACAACCCTTATAAGTTCTACTCTCTACTGCTTAAGTAACCCTAAAGCTCGCAACTGCAACACCGTACACCCTAAGACCTTTCGAATATACAGGCTACAGCTCCAAGCCCTACCCAAACCCTATAATTCCTAAACCCTGAACTGCAAACCCTAAACCCTAAACCCTAAGCCCTAAACCCTAAACCCTAAACCCTAAGCCCTGACGCTCCGCTAGCCCCAGTCATGCCGGAATCAGATGTCGGATCGATCGAGCTGGCTGCTTTGCATGGGGCTGAATCCGCCCCCTGTCCGATTGTTGCACAGCGAACCCGGGGGTGAACCCTGAACCCTGAACCCTAAGCCCTACAACATACTTCCTTGAATAGGCCTCATTATCTGCTCTTCCCAAGATCAGACTTTATGGCTCTAGCGACTGGCAGCTGGAGGCTTTAAGCACGACGACAATACGATGCAAGGCCAAAAGCCTAAAAACTTGTACCCTGTCCCAGAGGGTCCAAGTACTCCCTATTATGGGACTTTAGGGCCATTTTAGCTACCAAAAACCATAAATAGGAACTACTTGGATCCTTAGGGTGTAATAACCCTATACTATCTAACACTTTCTGGGCTACCTACGAGGTTTTTAAAGCCGGGGCTTTGGGGCTAAAGGTATACTACGGTTGATGATATAAATCCTGCATTACCTTAAGGACCCCAAACTATTGGAAATATGGTATATTCCTCATGATGGGTCATGCAGGATTTATATCATCAACCGTATCTAAGGCTTTCTGTGCTACTCTGGGCATTCGGAAGACCCGAAACCCTAAGCCCTGCACCCTAAACGAAGTATACAATCTATAGCCGACAGCAAAGGAAGCATGCCACTTAGCTAGTCTGGGTTGTCCATTGGGAAACTTTTTTAGTTTCCCCTACTTTTTTTGTAGAGAACCATAATAGTAAATAGTTTTTGAAGGGCTTAAAGGACAACTCAGCAGGGCTTTTTTCGACTGAGCTCTCAGTCCCAAACCCGACAAGGATCCTCAAAGGAAGTCCTAAAGAGAGATACGGCTGATGATATAAAGCCCGCATTACCTGAATGAGCCTAGACTTTGGGAATTCTGGCACATTCCTTATTCTGGGTAATGCAGGATATTATATCATCAGCCGCAACTTAATGCAGGCGCCTCAATATTCGGATAAGGGTTTGGGCTCATATAATATTCTAACTATAATGAGGAACCCCCAAAACCCCATTCTAATTATTAAGGCCCCTACATTACAGCTGACAAGAAAGGCACGCTCAACAGCCGCTATTGCCAAAACCCACAAACCTGACACAAACCCTACCGAATAACACATGTTTAGGCCCTACACAGAACCTGAATCTTGTAATGCCTATACTTTAGTCATGATAGCTCCTGTAGGAAAATCCTCAAGCCTAAACCCTAATCCCCAGCCCCACACCCTGAAGTTCTAAGGCGTGAACCCTAGCCTTAACCCGTCTGTTCTTCGGCCTGCAGATCCCGCCTATACTTCCTACATGAGCTTCCTGGTGATTCTTATGGAGATTTATCCCAGGTTCTATACTCAAACCCAGGAACGTGAACCCTAAACCCAAACCCTAAGCCCCCGAAACCTAAAAAAACCCTAAACCCCAAACACCTCTTCGGCCCCCATCAAAGATCCGAGGCCAATTTTGCAGCTGAAGCGCTGATTCCAGCAAGTTGGCCTCGTCCCGCGCCCCGAGCTTGGCCGCCCCAGCCTGCCAGAAACAGGACCTTGTGGGTTTAGGGTTTAGGGTTTTAGGGTTTTAGGGTTTAGAGTTTAGGGTTTAGAGTTTAGGGTTTTAGGGTTTTAGGATTTAGAGTTTAGGGTTTAGGGCCTGCCAGAAACAGGACCTTGACAAATTTATAAGGTTGTTCATAGGGCTTTGTCAAGCTTGGATGGTGTAACTGATTTTTGGTAGGCATTTGTGACAGCGCTTTATAGAGTGTGTAGGGGCAGACAGGTTTGGGGTGTCAGGGTTTTATGATATGACATTAGGTGGTATGAGATGGTATGATACTGTATGACAGACAACATCTGATATGATTTGATATATGGTATGATACGATACGTTGTGAGTCGTGACAAGAGGTATGTTTCGTGAAGTTGTTGCGGGATATGAGGTAGGCGATGTGAAGCATGAGACATTAAGTATGGTACCTGGCATGTAGTACATGCTAGATTGTGCCCGGTCGTTCTCTGTGTGTGTGTGTATGCATGCATGCATGCATGCATGCATGCATGCATGCATGCATGGATGGATGGATGTATGTATGTATGTATGTATGTATATTTTCATATATATATATATGTATATTATAGATACCTCTACATACATACATGCATACATACATACATACATAATGCATACATACATACACCCTTACATACACCTTCAAATTAACCTGCACCCTATTGTTTGAGCACCTGGTTGCAGGAAATCCATGCTGTCCGAATCGAAAATCTTGGAGCTGCAGACTGGGGAAGGACTTCTGCTTATTGTAGAAGCCAGAAAGTTGGAACATGACTTTAGGAGGATTGGTGCTAGGATCCCTTATACTTTACTTTAAGGGCATGAGGATAATGATGTTCCAACTTTCTGGCTTCTACTGAAAGTGCTCTCAGTTCAGGGTTTGTGGGTTTCAGGGTTCCTTTAAAGGGATCCTTTAAGGGATCTAGAGGGTTCAGGGTTTTAGGCTTTCGGCTTCAAGGCTTTATGCTTTCAGATGTTCGGCCTCATAGGTTTAGGGTTTTAGGGTTTCGGAGTCTTGGGGTTCAGGGTTTGGGGTCTGCAGGGTGTTGAAGGTTCAGGATTTTTGTTTATAAACGGATTGCAGTTTTTAGCTGAATTATGTACAACCGCAGGTAGCATTGGTTGAAGCAGTAAGGTAAAAGTGATTGAGCTTGAATCAGGAGCGTCTCCGAAGATCTGGCACGCACAGCTTGCGGTGGTTCTGTATACACTTGCCCGTGTCGTCGCCAACTTGACTTCTGTGCGTCTCAGCGCAGAGGGCGTAGAACGAAACTGGTTCTCTGCGAAAGCACTGATTTGCGATGGCGTGGTAAGGCCCGTGGCTGGTGGCTGCGGGATGTTGATTTTGCATTCTCGCTTTGAGCGATTGTCGGAGCCATCGTTGTGTCTCTGGACCCGAGGGGCCCTGTACTGCCTCGCATCTTGCCACTGTGACGTTGCCGTTTTTCTGTGGGGAGGCGCGATGACCGCGCCGATGGCAGCATTCTCGATCTTTGCTTGGGAAGGCTGTTGTCATGCAATACAGATGCAGATGTCGAATCTCAAGCTGCATGTGCTGGGCCTGAAACGACTTGCACGGGTTTGCCAGGTACTGACAGGCATTATGCTGTGTGCGTGGGTGTTTGTCTTTGTCACTGTTTATTCCGACAGGGCGATCGGGCGTTGGGCTCCTAGATGGCGGATGCGATATTTCGCTATCTTGATCGCTGTAGCCTGTACTGTGATGGGGTTGCTGGTTCAATTTCTTGGGCTGTGTTTTGCAGCTGGCAGGGCTCTTAGTTTCGGATGGCGCGATTCTGGGGTTGGGCGTGCTGCCAGCTTACTCTATGTCAACGCCATGTTGTTGCTTCTTGGCCCCTTCATGAGCATCTACGCTACTAATGGGCTTCTTGAATTTACCGGCATGACGCTGATGACGGTGGACATTTGCTTTCAAGTTCTGAACGTGCTGCTGCTGAGTGGCCTGGTCGGGCCTCGGCAGTGGCAAAATCCTATGGCTGCCTTTCAGAAGCTCGCAACACTCCATGGCTTCGGCCTGGCCGCAAAGCGTATCGCCTTCTCCGGGCACGTAAACGACAATGCCAGTGACTGCATCGTTTCTTTTCCTGGCAAATACAGCGGGGAGTGGGACCAGGCGGTTTCTGCGGTTAAGACGCAAGAAGCTTTGTCACTCGCCTGCGTGTTCCTAACTGACCGAGCATCCGGATTGGGTGCGCACTGCGATAACCCCGATGACCCGGGACAGTGCTGGTGCCGCGCCATTTACGGTCACCTCCCTGCTTCCACTTACATAAGTGTTGTCGACATGCGACCTGAGATGCAGGCTTCCCAAGCCCCAATCGAATTGGAGTTCAAACGAGCAGATGCACTGGCGATGGGGCAACGCTTGGCAACTTGGTTCGACAGCAGTGCTAACATTCGTCGCCTCGAACCCACTGTCACTTAGACCACTGGATACCCTTTGCCAATCTGTATGACTATTTGCGGTTACATACCTTGCGCATCATATGTGCAGACACGGAGGCTGCACCCCATCCTCCTCGCACCCCGAACTGCAATGTCTTACACTATAATCTCTGTGCAGTTTACATCTGGTGGTTAACGGTATGAGATGATATGATGCAGGTCATCCGAGAAGAGCACTATGGTGAACTGGAGTGGCAGCGGGAGCTCGCCGACGCCGAGGAGGACGCCCGTGCCCGTTGCGCCGCACACCAAGGAAGGGCTCCATGGGGCTGCCGCTGGTTCGAGGACTGGAGGAGGAGCCTTGTTTTTTGATAAAAAAGCTGAAGGTTAACGAGTTTTAGAGTGTGTACAGAGTATAGAATAGTTCAAGGGCATTAGGAGTTTACGAGGTTTGAGGGAACCCGGTCTTGTTAATCACAACATGATGTGAAACGGCTGATGGACAAAATCCTGCATGACCCTAAGACTCTAAACTATGGGAACTATGGTATATTCCTTATAAAGGGTAATGCAGGATTTTGTCCATCAACAGAAGGACAGTTCTAATGTTGATATTTTCGAGGACTAAAGGAAGGGCCTTGGTAACAGCAGTTGTTCAGCTTGCAAAAGTTTTTCGGAGCTTACCTGCAGTCTCCATTGTAGTTCCTTTTTGGTTATCCAGTTTTATGGTTAGGATCCTATGACAGAGATTTTGGTTAACCAAAAAAAGAACTACACTGGAGACTATAGGTAGGGCTTTAAGCTTGTAGGGCTCAGGGCATTGGGTTCGCGGCTGCTCGAGGACGGCAAAAGAATTGATGTGGAGATGATAAAATAAAACAAAACCTTTGAACCCTGATTCTCCAGTTAAGGTTGACGGTATATCAGTATAGACAATCTCTAAGGGTCCACGTACCCATATAGCATGTACTTTGGGCCCAATGTACCTATATAGGGAGTACTTTAAGGCGAATGCATATACGATATGGGTACATGGACCCTTAAGGAATAGTGTATGGTATGTAAATACGTAGGTATGTACGTATGTACTTTTGTATACGAGTAAGTAGGTAATTTAGTTAGTAAGTTAGCAAGTACATAAGTACAGAAGTACATACGTATGTAGTTAAGTAGGTAAGGTAAATAAGCAAGTCACAGAGTAAGTAAAGCAAGTAAGCAAGCAAGTAAGTGACTAAACATGCATGTATATGCTTATCCCTAGGGATCAAAATCGCCCAAAAGCCTTATATAGTACAGTATGGTCTTTGGGCCCAAAAGCCTTAATATCTGAGTCCTTAGACCCCTAAATTATGACCCCAGGAATGTGGACAAGGCCGTGGAGCTCAAGCAGACCCTCCACGTCTTCTACTTCGAGGACCTCAAGATTTGGGCCCCCATACCCTACTTGGAGGGGCAGGGGACTGAGTAAGGGCTCTTAAAGGGCTCCTTAAAGACCTTATGGGGATCTACAGGGTTTAGGGTTTGGGGTCTACTTGGAGGGGGGACTTAGTAAGTAGGTGAAAAGTAGAGTTATAAGTACCCTAAATGGAGTTACCCCAATTGTAACCCTCCTTACTAAGTCCCTGGCCCCTCCAAGTAAAGCCCTAAATCAGAACTCTCCGAAACCTTATAGCCTGAACCCCCAAACCAATCTGAACAAATGAAACCTTAAATCCGGAAGCCCCAACCTGTTTTGGATATGGCACCCACACTCCAACGTCAAAAAATGCCATGAACTATCGGTGCAAAAATGTCTTGTGCCAGGTGTTTATCGGCTTGCTTCAAGTTGATCTAGCGTTGAATATCTGGCGAATCGAAAACAATATTACGAAGTCATTCCTCTTAAAGTAGAAGCAGAAAGTTGGAATATGGATTAATGGTAGGATCCCCTATAATTTACCTTAAAGGGGTTACGATAATGATATTCCAACTCTCTGGCTGCTACTATAGAACCTAAACCCCCCAACCATCAATTCTCTTGTAACCTTAAATCACCCAAACCATCACGTCGCTTGCATTCAAGGACCGAAAAGGCAGAGGCAAGATGACCTGGGATGAGCTTCCCTCAGAAGAGGCCCCCGTCAACGCCGTTTAGGGGTTTAGGGGTTTTAGGGTTCAAGGGTTTGGGGTTTTGGGGTTTGCGGTTTACCTATAGTCTCCATTGTAGTTCCTTTTTTTGGTTAATTATCCAGTTTTATGGTTAGGATCCTATAATAGAGATTTTGGTTAACCAAAAAAGGAATTACAATGGAGACTATAGGCTCAATCCAAAATCCGTTTGACGGGTTTCTGTAAGGGCAATTTCAGGGCTCTGCAGTACGAGGACCAAGGTTGACTTTTGGAGGTTCGTTTGACGTGCGCAGGCTGACCTCTTGCCCGCGTCTGTCTCTGCTTGAGTTCACGAGTGCGGTTTCTGTTTCAGGATTTGTGGATGGCAAGACAGGGCCTCGCAGCACGGCTTGAGTTTCAGGGCTTAGTTTAGGGTTTAGGTTCCTATGGACTCTGAGGGGTCGTGGCAGAGGTTATAGGAGATCGCAAGTACACTTCCTATGTCGACAGACTCTCCCAGCAGCCTTGCTCTCTCTGACAGGGTTTATAAGCTTTATGGCTTTGGGTTTAGGACTCGACTGTGTAACGCGGTGAAACCGCAGCAGCCTACACAGTTTCATAGATGAGTGCGAGCTTTGATTGTTGAAGCAAACGCACAGCCGAATGAAGAGGGGTACTAACCTAGGGCTCAAAATGGCCCAAAAGCCTTATATAGTATGGTCTTTGGGCCCAAAAGCCTTAGAAAAAGTGAGTCCTTAGATCCCTAGGGCTAGAAACTGTATACCAAGTAGCAGAAGCTTCTAAGCATTAACCCTAAAACCCTTAACTCCATAGCCCCCAACTCCTCGTCCCACGAAGCTCGCGAACCTTAAGCTCGTAAAGGCCACTAAACGACTAAACCCGGAGCCCAACACCCTAAGCCCTGAATTGCACATACATGAATACGGTGGATGATAAAAATCCTGCATTACCCATAATAGGGAATATATGGGAATCATGGAGTATTCCTCATTCTGGGTAATGCAGTATTTATATCATCAACCGTATGAACTCATAGGTCTACGAAGTTTGAGACTTCTGTGTATTACTATCTCTGCACGGCTTACTTCTGTTGGTGGAGGGTGCAGGATTTGTGCAGCAGTTACAAAAGCGAAGCCAAACCTCGCGACGCATCCTTACAGCCAAGAAGCGCTCAAGCATTGAAAGCTAAGCTCGTTTTGTAGTTTCGAAATCCTAGACCCTGAAGACTGTTAGCAAAGTCTTGTTGACAAGACCCCTACTTTACCCTCTATACCGGCCCAATGCCCAAAAACCGCCGAAGAGCCGTGGCGAGGCAAAGGCGCGAGTTCGGTTGCAAAGTGGACTTGGCGCGTCGCAAACCGCGGAGGTCGCCTACCTGGACAAGGAAGGCGGGGTTTCTCTACTCAAAGGACTTAGGAACTAGGGTCCTTAAAAAAGGGATTTGGGAGTTTCCGAGAATTAGCGGTACCTTACTTTTGGGCTCCTTAGAATAAGGATCCTACTATTTAGGGTACTATACTAGGGCCCCCTAGTTTCGGAAGCTCCCATTTATAAGGATCTTGGGGGCTGCTTTCGGGGGCTTCTTCCAGGACGAGGTTTAGGGATCGGAGGTTCTTAGAGGGGCTTCCGGTCTACGTCTCATATCGATCCGGCCTAGTATATAGTATGAGATGAAGCCTTGTCTCAACAGGGTCCTGTGTTCCTTAAGGTGTATCGGATTTAAGAAGCCTGGGTTTCGGTCGGGTGGCTGATAAGGCGTCAACGGTTCAAGAGAGTTAATGAGGTTTATGACAAAGACGCCGCTTTTGTGGAGGATTTGCCGACCATACTCGACTTTGTGCAAGACAGGGTTGCCGAGCCCTACAGGTCCATGTAGTGTAGAGTTCGCCCACAAGCACATAGGAAGTTTGGGGTCAAAGTGTATGCTGTATGAATACATGGACCCAGTATGACCCTGCACCAGGAACCCTTACTGGCACCTCCGGAAGTGGTTTCGTTTCGCGTTCAAGCTGAAAAAATGCTCGGAGAGTTTCAGCAGATTTTACAAGGAGCGCTTGTTAGCCGGTCGAGAAACTTTTTCATGTTGGATCAGCTTGTCATATTTGTGTGGGTACACTCATACAGAGCTATACATATATACATAACTCTTATGTCTGTAATTATTCATTGCACTTATGTATTTCCGGTTTGCTTGATTGACTGATTTGTTTATTGATTGAATCAGTCAGTCAGTCAGTCAGTCAGTCAGTCAGTCAGTCAGTCAGTCAGTTGTTCACTCACTCAAACACTCATTTGTTGGTTCGCATATATGAGAACTATATGCACATAGACATGTATACATGTTTGCCTAACGGTTCATGTATTTGCTGACTCTTCATCGAGCGGTCACGCATTGGAGCCACATTGCTAGCGAAGAATCTCCACACAACTCTAAACCGTATACCTTAACCCTAAGGCTCTAAGGACTCACATGTTAAGGGAGAGCGAGCAGACTATATATCTTCCACGCAACCCTAAACCGTAAACGCTAACCTGCCTGCAACCAGGCATCGCCTACGTAGAACACGACATCCGGGAGTTCCAGGAGTTGGTGTCGCGGACGGCGTCAGATGCAACGGACGAACCACAGCAGTGGGCAAAAAGTTGAGGGTGTCGGATTTATAGGGTTTCCCTGGACCCTAAGGAACCTACCTTTTTTAGGGCTCCCTAATATGATTTCTTTATATAAGTCCTTAAAAGGGTAGGTTACGTGGGCTTAAGGTCGGGTTTAGAAAGACCTCTCCGAACACCGGATTAGGGTTCAGGGCTCGCGTGGGGATCCACTAAGCTACTGGTTAAACGCTATTAACGGTTATATTTTCCTATCACTAACAGGGATCATAGTCTCCTTTCTATAAAATTGGTAGGTACCCATAGGCCCCAAAGTATAACGTAGTTCCTTTTTGGGATTACCTTATAGAATTCTATATATGAACCGCAAAAAGGAACTACTTTGGGGTCTATGGGTATCGTATAGGGTTTAGGGCTCCCGGTCTGACTGTGTCGGGTTGCGGGATTAATGATTAGGGTTTGGGGTTCAGGTCGTAGGGTTTATAGGGTTAGGGCTTACCCTAAGGCTCCCAAAGGTGTCATGGGCTTTCTGGGGGAGGGTTTGCGCTTTGGGGGCTGAGGTTTAGGATCTCACTACGAGGGTCCAGGAGCCTTAGTGCTTCGGCTTTGGGGGTACCTTGTTTACGTGAGACACGAGACCGACGCTAGGATCC